TGTGCATACATGCATCTGCGCATGGTGCATGTGTGCATACATGCATCTGCGCATGGTGCATGTGTGCATACATGCATCTGCGCATGGTGCATGTGTGCATACATGCATCTGCGCATGGTGCATGTGTGCATACATGCATCTGTGCATGCGTGCATGTGTGCATACATGCATCTGTGCATGCGTGCATGTGTGCAAGTGAGCATGTGTGCATTCATGCTACCTGTGGTTCCCTCCGCACCTCGCATCTAAAAATGTCAACCCACATTGGCCCTCCCTTGTGACTCCCAAGTCCCGACCATGTGTTTCCATCCATCCAATCCAACCACCCATTTTTATCTCCATCCAACCACCCATTTTTATCTCCATCCAACCACCCATTTTTATCTCCATCCAACCACCCATTTTTATCTCCATCCAACCACCCATTTTTATCTCCATCCAACCACCCATTTTTATCTCCATCCAACCACCCATTTTTATCTCCATCCAACCACCCATTTTTATCTCCATCCAACCACCCATTTTTATCTCCATCCAACCACCCATTTTTATCTCCATCCAACCACCCATTTTTATCTCCATCCATCCACCCTGTTTTCAGCTGTTCTCCATCCCTTGTTTCTGAGTGCCGCCTCACCCCCATGTTTCTGTATACTGCCTGTAGGGATTTAAGCGACAACTGGCTTACAGGCTCCCTCCCGGCTTCCCTGGGGAACCTTTCGTCTCTCCTGCACTTGTCAGTCCTCCCAATGCCTCCAATCCATCCGTCCCTCCTCTACCAACGCCACACCACACCACACCAGTCTTTCCTCCCCTTATCGATCACATCTCTTCACTTCACCCTGCGATGTCTTCTCCCTGGGGCTCGCACAATCTACCATGCCACGGACAGACCATCGCCCATACCACATTCCATGCCCTCTCCTCCCATGTATCACCTCCCACACCACGCACCATCTCCTTGCCCATGCACCATCCATCACACATGCTATGATTCACGTGACGTGCCATGCGCTATCTGCCATGGACTCATCAATCATCCCTGTCTCAACCATGTACACTCAGAAGACATGTCAAGATGGCGAGTCGAGTTTAACTCGACTCATTTCTGCGAGTTTTTTGGACCTCTCAAGTCGAGTCGAGCAAAAATTGCTAGAGTTTTTCTTACACTCGGGGTCGGCTCGTAACTTGACTAAATTCTCAAACTAAAATAAAAAAACTTGATGTGAGTTTAAAGAACTTTGCCACGAGTCACGTACGACTCGACTTGTGATGTTATTCTTTCCCCCCACTCCCCCCCCCCCCCGTTCTCTCCCCACGCCCCCTCCCCAATCCGTGTGCCACAAACTCATGTAGCTCTCCCCTATGCTTACCATGTTTAGGGCAGGCCATTGTGTTTTGTGGGTTGGTTGGGTTGGGCGTTCCACACACAATCTCAGTCTCACTCAAATAAGATCACCCAAGATATATCAATTCACCAGCTCCACTCAAGTACTTACAGCAGCATCTGCCATGCCATGCCATGCCATGCCATGCACCATCTCCCCACATCTTTCTCACCATGCACTACCATTCCATGTTGCACACACGGGGACTTTTTGTTTCTGATAGAAACACAACCATGTGCTTCTTTACTCTCTCTGCTCGTTCCCTGTTCCAATCTCTCCTCTCTGGTTTTGGTTAACTACACTCCTCGCCCTCCATCTCCGATGTTTCCCACATCTCCATGCCCTCCCACCCTCTGCCCTCCCGCCCTATGCCCTCCCCCCCTCTGCCCTCCCCCTCTCAGCCCTCCTCCCCTCTGCCCTCCCCCTCTCAGCCCTCCCCCCCTCTGCCCTCCCCCTCTCCGCCCTCCCCCCCTCTGCCCTCCCCCTCTCAGCCCTCCTCCCCTCTGCCCTCCCCCTCTCTGCCCTCCCCCTCTCCGCCCTCCCCCACTCTGTCCTCCCCCTCTCTGCCCTCCCCCGCTCTGCCCTCCCCCTCTCCGCCCTCCCCCTCTCCGCCCTCCCCCACTCTGCCCTCCCCCTCTCTGCCCTCCCCCGCTCTGCCCTCCCCCTCTCCGCCTGCACCGTCTCTCCGTCTCCCCCCCTCCTCCCTTTCCCCCGCTTAATTTCACCCTCCTCCACTTAAACCTGCCCTATCCATACTCCAGGAATCTCGAGAGAAATGGGTTTTCAGGCCCCATCCCAGAGGCTATCGGCAACCTAAAACACCTGCAGAAGTTGTGAGTGGTGATGGGGTAGGCATGCAAGGTGCCATGGAGGGATCATTGAGTGCTTTAGTGAGTGGGTGAGTGAGTGAGTGACTGGGTGAGGGAGTAAGTGGGTGAGTGAGTGGGTGAGTGAGTGGATGAGTGAGTGAGTGGGTGAGTGGGTGAGTGAGTGAGTGAGTGAGTGAGTGAGTGAGTGAGTGAGTGAGTGAGTGAGTGAGTGAGTGAGTGAGTGGGTGGGTGGGTGGGTGGGTGGGTGGGTGGGTGAGTGGGTGGGTGAGTGAGTGAGTGAGTGAGTGAGTGAGTGAGTGAGTGAGTGAGTGAGTGAGTGGGTGAGTGGGCGAGTGAATGAGTGAGTGAGTGGGTGAGTGAACAAGTGAGTGAGTTTGCAAGTAACTGACTGAGTGAGTGGGCGATTGAGTGAGTGAGTGAGTGGGCGATGGAACGATTCAGTGAGTGAGTGAGAGGGTGAGTGGAGGCACCCGTATGTGCTAATTCTCCAGCTGTTACAGGCACATTGAATGAGTAACGATGGTGCTGCTGCAGGGTGAATGACGCAAAGTGCTTCCACTCTTTCAGTGCACTGCTGATGCATGCGCTGCTGCTAGTGCTGCAAGCACTGCTGATGCATGCGCTGCTGCTAGTGCTGCAAGCACTGCTGATGCATGCGCTGCTGATAGTGCTGCAAGCACTGCTGATGCATGCGCTGCTGATAGTGCTGCAAGCACTGCTGATGCATGCGCTGCTGCTAGTGCTGCAAGCACTGCTGATGCATGCGCTGCTGCTAGTGCTGCAAGCACTGCTGATGCATGCGCTGCTGCTAGTGCTGCAAGCACTGCTGATGCATGCGCTGCTGCTAGTGCTGCAAGCACTGCTGATGCATGCGCTGCTGCTAGTGCTGCAAGCACTGCTGATGCATGCGCTGCTGCTAGTGCTGCAAGCACTGCTGATGCATGCGCTGCTGCTAGTGCTGCAAGCACTGCTGATGCATGCGAGCTTATGCATCCCCTCTACAAGCTGCTCCACCACACCCAGTTTCCACCTTGGCATGGCATGGTTCACCCTGACACACACAAGGTCGCCTTGCTCTCATCCTCCTCTCTCCCCTTCTCCCGTATCACACTTCTCCCCATCCCCTCCTTTCCCCTACTTCATCCACACTGTACCACTCGATATCACACTTCGCCGCACTGTACCGCGCACAACCTCAGGAACCTTGGCAGGCAAAAGCTTTCAGGGCCCATCCCCGAGTCAATTGGAGCGCTCACCAACTTGCAAGAAATGTAAGGACGAGCAGGGCATTACAAGGCGAGGTATTTTCAGATTCAAGAGTGCAACAAGCAGATGACTTAACTATTTCTAAGCTTGGTCTGGTTTAGAGTCAGACCCCACCAGAAAGCACCGAGTCAAGTAGTGTGTGTATGATAAAACACACAGAGTTAACTTTTGAGTCCATTCAAAAGTCAAGTAGTGTGTGTATGATACCGCTCACCAAGTTAACCATACTTGGAAAAGGCAGAAGCTGTGTGGGCTTGAGAAGGGATCTGCTGGTGGCATTCGTCATTTTGACCTTGTCCCGTGCTTTTGATTCTTTCGGCTTGCGCATTTTTTACTTGAGCAGGCTTTTGTTTCAAACCAGGCTGAGTGGCACCATTCCCGCCTCCATTGGCAACCTCACCGCACTCACCAGCCTGTGCGCCCATTCCCCCTCCACCCTACTCCTTTCTCCATGCGTTTCTTTCTGCCTGCCACTCGTTTTCAACCCCTTGGCGCCTGCCGTGATTGTATCTGCTCGGTCACCAAGCTTTGGTAGTACTCAACACAAAGGGCAGGGGTAGACAGGGATACGCAGAGGGGAGGCAGGGACAGGGGGAGGGAGGGAGGGAGGGAGGAAGGGAGGGAGGGAGGGAGGGAGGGATGGAGGGAGGGAGGGGGAGAGGGAGGGGGGGAGGGAGGGCGGGAGGTTTGTGGGGGAGGGATTGGAGGGGGGGAAGGGAGGGGTATGGAGGGGGGGTATGGAGGGAGGGAGGGAGGGGGGGAGGGAAAGAGGGAGGGAGGGAGGGAGGGAGGGAGGGAGGGAGGGAGGGAGGGAGGGAGGGAGGGAGGGAGGGAGGGAGGGAGGGAGGGAGGGAGGGAGGGAGGGAGGGAAAGAGGGAAAGAGGGAAGGAGGGAGGGAGGGAGGAAGGGAGGGAGGGAGGGAGGGAGGGAGGGAGGGAGGGAGGGAGGGAGGGAGGGAGGGAGGGAGGGAGGGAGGGAGGGAGGGAGGGAGGGAGGGAGGGAGGGAGGGAGGGAGGGAGGGAGGGAGGGAAGGAGGGAAAGAGGGAGGGAGGGAGGGAGGGAGGGAGGGAGGGAGGGAGGGAGGGAGGGAGGGAGGGAAGGAGGGAAAGAGGGAGTGAGGGAGGGAGGGAGGGAGTGCATGTGCCACGTGTGTGCATGGCATGTTACTCGAAGCGCACACATCTCACATCTTACATCTCACGCAAAGCAACCGTGGCTTCACTCTTTCAAGGAACCATCTCGGCCCTCTTCTCCTTCCCATGCCCACCCACCATCCACCATCCACCATCCACCATCCACCATCCACCATCCACCATCCAACATCCACCCATCTCCAGATATCTCTGCGACAATCGCCTTGCAGGGACCATTCCTGCTGGGATCAGCCGACTCACTAACCTCAGAGAACTGTCAGTGCTACTCTATGTGAAGCTATTTCTTCTCCGTCAACTCTTCCAAGAAATGCCATCTCTACTGCTCGCATGACTGCACTTGTGTTCAAATCTGCCAACCACCCGCCTGTCCCCCTCTGCTTGCGAAAGAGCGCATCCATATTGGAATTCTCAATAGTGACTCCAAAGCATTGGAATTGCTCCTTACTGTTCTTAAATGCGTCTCATGGCGCCTAGCCTTCTTCCCCTTGTGAACGAACTTTGAGGCCCCTCAGAAACCCTTGTGAACGAATGGGCTCCACCCGCTTCACCTCATCTCCATATGCATTTCCTGCTTATCCGACCAGTGAAATTTTGGGAAAAAAAAAAAAAAAAACCAAATTACGAGTTCTTCTGCTTCGCCCTCCCCATTCTGGGTCTACGAAGTGAGGGAGAATGCATAAGAAGGGAGGATAGTGGAATTTTTTTGCGGAACTTTGGCAAGACTCAACCCCTCCAACAGCCAACTCTCGTTCGCGTTGCACCTCCTTCTCATCAGGCCTCTTCTTATTTCCCCTCCCCCACCCACCTTTCCCTTCCCTTCCCTCTTTCCCTTCAATCCGCTTTCCTTTCAATCCACTTTCCCTCTTTCCCTCCAATCATCGCCGCACCTGATTGCAGATACTTTGCCAACAACCAGCTGGTAGGGCCACTGCCTGCCATCCACCGCATGGCGCACCTCCAATACCTGCACGCAGAAGAAAACTACCTCAAAACCACAGCAAACCCACTCCCTCAATGCCCCACCGCAACTTCCACTCCCTGCAACGACACCTCCGGATGCCCCTCCTTTCACGTCCACAAGAACTGCCTTGCAAGCGAACCGATCGGATGCAACTATGACATGCAGCACGGCTGCCTTACCACGCGCGGGGTCTTCTGCAGGGAGTTCCAGGCTCAGAGGCTTGACAGCGAGTGCCGGTCGTTCTGTGCGGCGCAGTTTCTCACCCCGCCGTGCAGCGGCCATGGCGTGTGCTCCATTGTGCCTGACCCCTCTTCGGACCTGCATGTGTGTAAGGATGAGCACCCGCCGTCCTTCTGCAACCCCAATGAAGGGAGGGCGGAGTGCACCTGTGATGAGGGGTACACGCCAGGGACTGCTGCTGGCACTTGTGTCCCTCAAGGTATGCCTGCCTGCCCGCAAATGCCCTTGCTGGCTACTATTATGTGGTTTTATTATTTTCAATCTCTTGAGCGTTGTGTGTGCATGTGCTTGTGTGCACAACCCCTCCCTTCACATTATTCTGTTACCTCCTCCGAAGTTCCCTCCACGCGTACCCTGCTTTGCTGTTTTCACGGTACTCTCCTCTCCTCCCTCGCTTCTCATCCGCCCTGTCTGCAGAAATCGCCTCTGATCTCTCAGGGTTCCAGCCACTGTATCACCTGCTGCTGCCACAGCTACTCCCACTGGCCATGCTGCTGCTGCTGCTGCTCTTGCTGCTGGCACTGTTGCCGAGGCGCATCAACCTCCGACCCACCCTCCCCCCTCCACGCTACGTCTTTTCAAATAGAGCCCTTGCTGCTCGGCAAGCTGCTAGTGGAGTGTAGAGGGCACTTGATGGACCACGGGATAGAAGGGCCCACCACAACTACCACCACCACCACCACCACCACCACCACCACCACCACCACCACCACCACCACCACCACCACCACCACCACCACCACCACCACCACCACCACCACCACCACCACCAGTCTGTCATGCAGTGTACTCAAGATGTTTACCCGGCAATTTGAAGTTGTGTTGAGTTGGCCACACTTGTAACTTGGGTGCCCGATTTGTTTATTTGTAAGTCTGTTTTCACTGTGTAAACAGTACCCAAGGGCTCAGACTAGTTGCCTTTATGGTCCTTGCTAGTGTCCGATTTCTGATACCGTACTGGACATGCCAAATCTCCTTTTGGATTTCAGTCTCATTTTTGCAATTTATCTGCAGCACACATACATCCACCAAATCTCTATTTGTTTCACGTTGGCTTATTGGAAATCGAATTTGTTGGAACATGCGCTAAACGCAGGTAGGGTCCTTGCCTGTAAAAAAGCAAGTATCGCGCCTCCACGGAAACAAGTCTCGTGAAGACGACTTTCGCGGTGCAAATCACGACGGCGCGCGGTGCATCCGAACCCATTCCCAGCCAATGCCATTCCCCAGGGGATTCGGATGACGCGCGGCTGGTGGATTGGGTGGTGCGATGTGGTGTGATCGTCATCGCGCCTCGAGTCTCTGCTAATCAAGATCCACGGTTGGAATAGAGTCTGGTTTTTAGTGTGTTTCCACTCGGTTCAGTGGATATCTGAACGGTGGTACATCATCATGTATCATTCACTCAACTCCTCATCTACCCTCAGACTAAACCCTACTTGCCTTAGCTAGCTCTGACCAAACGTCCCCTTACTCTTTCACTCTTGCGATATCCTCCACTTCCGTGGCTCACAGCGCCAGACAGTCTCGTACATTTCTTCCTTCGACGGCTTTCTCAAAAATCACAACGTGCGGCTCCTTCGTCCCGTCTGCCGCGCAACCTCGACGACGTGGCGTCTCAAATGGAATCGTCCAACGTCGGTTCGTCACCACCTCCGCCATGCCGCCTCGAGACCGATCCTTTCGCGCGTCTCTCAGACGATCTCGTCACTCACATATTCGCTCTTGTCGCCTCCAACGGATTCCGTTTCCACTGCCTCACAACCGCCGCTGCTACTTCTGACGCATCCACTACCGCCGCCGCCGCCGCTGTCGCCGTTTCTGCCGGTGCGGAGGCTAATGCCGGTAGGGACGGGAGTGACGGTGCCGTCAACAGCGAGGGCGACGATGCTCGTGGCGAAAAGAGCGAGGACGAGCTGCACGAGTGCATCGAGCGGGCAGTGCAGAAACCGTGCGCGCGTTTCGTACGCGTTGTTGAGCTCACCACCGCCATAACTCTCGAGGCCGCGGCGACCGCCGCCAACTACGCTCGAACCATGACGGTCCCTATCGACAAGGACAATCCGAACTCACCGTCAGCTGCGCATATCCTCACCTCCGCCTTTCCGCCCTCCCCCTCCGGGACCTCCGCGCCCTTTCCGCCTCCGCCTCCCTGTCCGCTTCCGCCTCCGCCATTCACCGTGTTCCACCACGCGCTCGTGTGCAAGCGCTGGCTCCGCTTGGCGCGCGTCAGCCTCCCCGCCATCCTCCTGCAAGCCGACCGCCGCCTTTCCACCCAAACCTTCCGCTCCTTCCTCTCCTCCCCACCTCCTCCTTCCGCCTCATCCCCTCCCCTACCCCTCTCCCTCTCCCTCGCCCCTCCCACTCCCGCCTCCGCCTCCGCCGTTTCCCCCTCCTTTCCCCTCCACTCTCCGCTCACCCTGCAGCACCTGCACATCGGCCCATCGGCGCTAGACACCATAACAGACGATCTCCTTCACTCCATCGCCACGGGGTGCGCGCCCTCCCTCACACACATGTCGCTGTACCGCCACAGGAACCTGCGCTCCTGGCAGCGGGAACTCCGCGTTGAATACCCTGACGACGCCGTCGCGAAAGTAACAGAGCCCGCCGTTACCGCGCTTTTCGCCGCATGCCGCCGCCTGGTCAGCCTAAAACTCACACTGCCCCTGTGCCTGCCCGAGCTGCCCGCTTCCGTGAGTCTCCTGCAGCGGCTGACGAGGCTGGAAGTTTCGTGCGGCCAGCTCGATAATTTTTTCAGGGCGGTCGATGATGGTGATGATGATGCCGCTACGGCGTCAGAGCCCGAGGCGCGGTTCCCCGAGGGCGTTGGTTCGCTGTCCGCGCTACGGTCGCTTAGCATCCGCGCTGCTTGCATACGCGCCCTCCCGCACACCCTCTCCCGCCTCCGCTCCCTCACCTCGCTGAAACTCGACGGCTGCAGTTCCCTCCGGCAGCTGCCCGACGGTCTCGGGCAGCTAAAAAAACTGCAACACCTGGAGCTGGCGGGCTCATTTCACATGCAATCCCTGCCCGACTCCATCGGCCTCTTGTCTTCCCTCGAAACCCTCCACCTTCGCGCGATCGCTGTCGGCACTTTCCCAGACTCCTTCGCTCACCTCTCCTCCCTCAAACGCCTCTTTATCTCCAGCATCCAGCACCTGCGATCGCTTCCCGACTGCGTCGGAAAGCTGCCCTCGCTGCAAGAACTGACCATCAAGTCCTGCTCTTCCTTATCCGCCCTCCTGCCCTCGCTCTCCGCCCTCTCCTCCCTCACTGCGCTCACCGTTTATCACTGCACTGCCCTCGCCTCGTTACCGGAGGATATCGGTGACGCTCCCCGCCTCGCATCCCTCGTTCTCGACAAGCTTAGCTCCCTTACGGCTATTCCGGACTCTCTCGGTCTCCTCTCCTCCCTAACGCACCTTCACGCGGCGGGGTGTATGGTTCTAGCGTCTCTGCCGGCGTCTGTCGCGGGGATGAACTCCCTCTCTCGCCTGCAGCTTCTCGAGTGCTCTTTGACATCGCTGCCCGAAGATTTCGGGCAGCTGTCCGCGCTGACCGAGCTGCATTTGAACAAAGTGGCCTGCGATTTGCCGGGATCGTTCGTTCAGCTGCTGAAGCTGCGGCGGCTCATTGTAGATCGCTGTGCGTTTCGGCACCCTCTGCCGGCCACTCTCACTCAGCTTGAAAACCTTACCCTCCATGGCTGTAACAATCTAGAAACGCTGCCCGAAAATATCGGGCAGCTGACGGCGCTCCGGACAGTGGAAATAGCTGGCTGCGAACGGCTGGAAACCCTCCCTGAATCGCTTTCGCAACTGCCCGGCCTCGAAAGCCTTACTCTCGGATGGAAGGGTTTGGTGACTAGAAGGGAAGATCGGGAGCTAGGTGTAGCAACCTACGTGTTTGACCCGGTTCGTTCCTACTATGACGGAAATACGCCAAGAACCGCTTTCACTGACCTCCCGAGCACGTTCGGGCAGCTCGCAAATTCCTTAACTGCCCTAGAAATCCATGGGTGCCACGAGCTTCAGCAGCTGCCAGCATCGTTCACCCAGCTGACTCGCCTGCAGCGGCTGTGCATCTCCAACTGTAGCAAGCTGAGGGAAATGCCCGCAGGGTGGGGCAACCTCGTGGGCTTGCGGGAGTTAGAGCTCTCTCGCTGCAAGCTGCTTTACACGCTGCCACCACTTACCGCTCCTCCTCCTGTTGCCGCTGCTGCTACTGAAACTGCGGCTGCTGCTGCTGCTGTTTCTGCTTCTGCTGCGTCTTCTACAGGCGCTGCTGCCTCCGACGTTCCCCTGACTGCTCATGCCCCTCATCCACCCCCTCAGCCTTCAACCCAGCCCTCCTCTCCCCACCCCCTCCCATCCCTCCACCGCCTCCTCATCCTCAAAAACCCCTCCCTCGCCTCCCTCCCTTCAGGTCTCCACCTCCTCCCCTCCCTGCTCCACCTCGAAATCCGCGACTGTGTCAACTTCACCAGACTTCCCCCGCACCACTCGCCCTCTCCCTTCCCACCCACCCTGCAAACCCTAATCCTGTCCAACACACTAGAGAGCACCAGCGACATGCAGCATGCCATCTCCCACCTCTCCTCTCTCCAGCACTTGTGCATCGAACACATCCCATCTCTCAAAGCCATTCCCATTGCATCCTCCCTGGAAAGCCTTTCTCTCTTTGACTTGTCCCAAATCTCCCCCCTCTCAACACCCAACATCCACACACTACAGAAACTGAGAATCCTGACCCTCCACACCCTCCCCCAGCTCGCCCTGCTCCCTCCTTCAATCACAGCCCTCACTCACCTCCAGCGCCTTCATCTCACCCACATGCAACTTTTCAACCTGCCCGAGGACCTCGGGCAGATGCAAGGGCTGCGTGTTGTAACCGTAGACAATGCGCCGAGGCTATCAACGCTGCCCGCCTCCCTCACCCTCCTCACCTCTCTGGAGCACCTCATGGTCTCCGACTGTGAGAGCTTTTCCTCTCTACCAGAAGAGGGATTCGGCAATCTCTCCTCTCTCATCTCTTTCACGCTGAAAAACCTGCCTTGGCTGCTCAAGCTGCCCGCGGCCGTCTCTCGCCTGGCTTCGCTGCAAGTGCTGAACGTGCAGAAGTGCGAAAGGTTGAGCGAGCTACCCGAGGGGTTGGAGAGCGCGAGGAGCTTGCGGGAGGTGTATTTGGAAGGGTGCTGCAATTTGAGGGACTTGCCCGAGGAGCTGCTGGCGCGGGCAGGGAGGATTCAGATGCATAGATACAGTAGAATGAACTTTTGACAGCTTGAAATGCGTTATTTTCTTTTAGTGTGCTGTTAGGGTATATCATGGCTGATTTGTGATAATGGGCATCGTGTCTTGGATGATGTAGACTAGGAAAATGGTAATATATCAAACGTTTCTTGATTTCCTGTAGCCAAACATGGCTCCCTCCACGCCCTTCTGGCGGTACTGGTGGAGTGGTACAGTAACGGAATATGTGCCCCATTAGAAAATCAGTGTGGTGACTGGACAGGGGCCAGGGGGGCCTGCTGGCAACACAGGGGTACCGTAACACTAAAGGATCCCATGGACTGTAGTATAGTGGTGGTGCAGATGTCATGTCATGTCATGTCATGTCATCACCATGCAATGCCACGGTACCGAAAGCTCAAGTTCCAGACTGGATCCCATTAGCAGCATCAGCTTCATTGTCGTCATCACTGTCACCGGCCTTCTGGATACCTTCAGCATCAGTTGCAGCATCAGCATCAGCAGCATGAGCAGCACCAGCATCATCATCATCACCAGCACTATCAGGAGCAGCAGCAGCAGAAGCGTCCCTATCACCAGCACCACCAGCAGCAGCAGCAGCAGCGCCGGATTCTTCCCCGTTCCCATCACCACCTCTATTGCTGCCATTGTTCTCTCCCGCCTCAGCTCCTGCGGTCGCACGAAAACCCGGCCCATTCTCACCTGCCCTACCATCCTGCCTTGCAGCCCCCCTCACACCTCCACCCACACCCCCACCCACACCCAAGCCCATGCTCCCCCCCTCCCCCTCACCCCCAGCCCCACCCCCACCCATATCCATATCCATACCCATACCCACGCCCGCACCCATGGCCGCACCCATGCCTGCACCCAAGCCCATGCCCATGTCCAGGTTCACTGCATCGGCGCTGTCGTCGTTCATGACCTCTTCCAGGTGGCGGAAGAAGTGGGAGACGTGCGTGCGCTGCAGCACGGCACACGATGATTCAAACATGTCCTGCCGGTACCCACACGCGCCCCCCAGCCGCTCCCCCGCCCGCGCAAACGCTACGCCAAACGTGCTGATGGGGCACGGGGGGGGGGGGAGAGGGAGGGTGGGAGCGGGGAGGGAGAATGAGTGAGAGGACGGGCGGTTGAGCGAGTGGCGAGGCAGGAGGTTGAGGAGGAGCAGTGGTGGGAGCCCCCCAGCCGCTCCCCCGCCCGCGCCCAAACGCAACGCCAAACGTGCTGATGGTGAATGGGAGGGTGGTGGGAAGAGGGGGAGGAGTGAGAGGGAGGGCGGGCCGGCGTGAGGGGGAGGGAGTGGTGGGGTGAAAAGGCAGGCAAGCGATTTAGCGTGTAAAAAGGGGAGGGGAAAGAATGGCATGAGACCGGATAATAAATGAGGCGCATCACAACTGGAGGGAGCAGAAGGGCAAGGGTACACGGAATCACCTACCGATAGCACTGGTGTGGGAAGGGGTTGGGTGGGGGGTTCAGTCCAGCGTTAGCAAACGCAGGGCTCTTCCAAGAAAAGAGAGTTGAGTGGAGGATACATACTTTCCCATGAGTTGGCCAAGCCTCGGTTTGTGTGACACTCCGACGATGAGTGCTGATGGCGATGATGGCAGTGATGCTGCCACCACCATGGGGCGAGGCCGCTCGCCTTGCTCCTGATGGGGCAGAGGGCCGGATGAGGGCGATGAGGGAGGGGGATGCAGGATGAGGAGCGATACCCACCTGATGGAGGGTTGCCTTGAGAGAGTCACGGTCGCATCAAGTCGGGTCACACGAAACGGGGTCACATGGAATGGGGTCACACCAAGTATGGTGAGGGAGAGCAGAAGGCGGGTGAGTGTGAGGGGATGTGCAATGTGGTGTGCCCCACTCTAGAGACACCTCTGGCCCTTGTTTACCTCACCCCTTCCCCCTTCCTCGTCTCCCCGCCCCCCCACCTTGAGTGCGTCCATGAGGAAGAGCAGCAGGCGCGTGAGCGCCAGGGGATGGTGGGTAATGAGCAACGATCTATTTGTCTTATAGGCACCTTCCCAGCCCCCCATATTCCCGTCTCCCCGTCCCCCCACCTTGAGTGCGTCCATGAGGAAGAGCAGCAGGCGCGTGAGCGCCAGGGGATGCGCAATGAGGCGTGCGTCGCTGTGGTCGTCCAGCAGCATGTAGCGGAACCGGTGCCTCCCACACGTGCTGCGGATGGCGCCCTGGCGGGGTGTGGGGAGAGGGGGGTTGAGGGGAGAGGCATAGAAAAGAGTGGCCCGGAGCACACGTGCTGCAAGCGTTACCCAGGGGCGCATACTTACATGCGCCAACCCACCACACCCAACCCAACCACGCCACACTCCACCCCACCCACCCCACCCCACACAAGCAGCAGCGACGGCAGTAGTGGGGCTGACAGACCTTCTTGGCGATGGCGAGGCTGCCCTGGCGGACCAGCGCTGCCTGCATGCGGATGGCCAGATCCATGCCCTCTTCCAGCTGCTGCCACCCGCGCCTGCCATGGGAACGTGGGGGGCGAGGCGAGGCGAGGGTTAGGAATGAAGCGGGCGTAAGATATGGAATGAGTGCCTGCATGCGGATGGCCAGATCCCATGCCCTCCTCGAGCTGCTTCCACCCGCGCCTGCATTGAAACGTGGGGGGCAAGAGGCAGGAATGAAGCTGGGATGGGAAGTGAGAGCAACTTGTGGAACGTGTGTGTGTGTGTGTGTGCGTGGATAACCAGGTCCGTGCCTTCCCCTAGCTGCTTCCACCCGCGCCTGTCACACTTGCTGGGCGCAAGATCAGGGTTTGCAAGGGGTGGGAACGATGGGCGGATGGGAAGAGAGAGGAAGATGTGGAGTGTGCGTGCGTGCGTGCGTGCGTGCGTGCGTGCGTGCGTGCGTGCGTGCGTGCGTGCGTGCGTGCGTGCGTGCGTGCGTGCGTGCGTGCGTGCGTGCGTGCGTGCGTGTGTGCACGGGTAGAACCTTGTCCTCCTGTAGTTGTTCCTACGGTCTACCCCCAGCCCGTCACAGTTTTTTGGCAAAAACAATGGGGGCAAAAGAAGGCAGAAGGTGGGATGAGCAGTTGGGTATCGGCCTGGTCGGCAACAGATGCACGATAAAAGAACGGCAGCGAGCCTCATGTGAAAGCAGGAGGAGGAGCGGGAACGGAAGAGCGATATAGGAGGGTGGGAAAGACGCAGGAAGGTGGAGGGCCGAGAGCAAATAATAGAGCATGGTAGTAGAAGGGAGATTCAGGGAGGGAGCGAACGAGGGAAGCGACGTGAGTAGAGGTGAAGGGCAGGGAGAACAGAATGAACAGAAGGGCAGGGAGGGCAGACCAGAATGAGACGTTGCTGTGTGAGAGTAGATAGTCAAGCGCGGGTGGCAGGGTGAGGGAAGCAGGGCAAACGACGTACAGATGCAGCGCGGAGAGAGCAGTCCAGAAGGAGTCGTTGGTGTGAGCATGTGCGGCGCCATTGTCCCCGCCTGCAAGCCCCGTGGGTGCAGGCGAGTGGCTCTCCAGCAGCGCGGTGATACCATACACCACGTCTGATGCCGACACGTGGAACCTGGTGGTGTGTGGTGGGGGCATTGCATCAAAGGCAAGTATGAGAGGGGAAGCATGGGAGAAGTGGTATTGAGGCGTGTGCTCAATTCTTTCTTCAAGCAGCGCGGTGATGCCATACACCACGTCTGATGCCGACACGTGGAACCTGGTGGTGTGTGGTGGGGGACGAAGCACACACAGGCATGGTGTGGTAATGAGGAACGCACGCAATAGAGGGTGCATGCTTAATTCTTTCTTCTAGCAGCGCTGTGATGCCATACACCCCTTCGCCCTCTCGCCCTGACGCCCTCTCGCCCTCTTGCCCGCTCTCCCTTTCCCCCTTTCCCCCTCTCCCAGTCTCCCCCTCCCCCCTCTGACAGCCCACATGGCACTAGTGTAGACACACATGCATTACACCTACCATACGCACACGGCACTCACGCAAACGCACACGCACTTTCCCACTCGCCCTTCCGCCCCTCACAGGCGCACTCACTTGTATCCGTTGTATCGCTGGAACGCACGGTAGCACATGTCCGACAGCCCATGCAGCCTTAGCCGCACTCACACACATGCACCTATCGCACACACACACACATGCACCTATCGCACACACCACACTCATGCCAGTGTGCCTGCCCCCCCTCGCCCCCTGACAGACTCACTCACTTGTATCCGTTGTATCGGTGGAACACGCGGTAGCACATGTCCGACAGGCCGCACAGCACTAACAGGCGGGCACACACACATACATTCATTCATACACCTACCATACCATGCACGCTCCCGCCCTCGCCCCCTGACAGGAGCACTCACTTGTATCCATTGTATCGGTGGAACGCGCGGTAGCACATGTCCGACAGCCCGTGGCTCGGACCAAAGCGCTGCACATCGTCCTTTAGGCGACTGCAATGGCGCGCACACAAGGGGGTGAGAGGGGCGGAGAGTGGTGGGAAGGGTGGAAGAGAAGGAGGCATGAATGGGTAGCGCTGCTTGGCATGTGATCTTTGAGTCGACTCAGAAGTCATTTTGAGTCGACTCAGAAGTCATTTTGAGTTGGCTCAAACAGTAGCGCTGCTTGGCGTGTGATGTGCGTGGGGGATTATCAGCTGCTTCATCCCTCCTTTCCCCCCATATTGCCCTCTTGTGAGGCGCCACCAACCACCCTCTTCTCCTCCCCTCTCACCTTCCTGTCCCCCACCCCACCTGCGAGTAGCAGCGGGCATGAAGAAGTAGCGCTGCTTGGCCTGCGCGAGGGGGATGCCCAACCGCTCCACCTCTCCACCCGAAACCCACTCCCAACCACCCCTGCCGCACCCCCTGCCCTACCTCCTGCCCCATTTCCCCTCCTGTCCCCCACCCCACCTGCGAGTAGCAGCGGGCATGAAGGGGTATCGCTGCTTGGCCTGCGCGAGGGGGATGCCGAGATGCCTCATCTCTCCACCCGAACCTCTCCCCACCTTCCTATTGTTCCCCACCACTACCCCACCTGCGCGTGGCAGCGGGCATGAAGGGGCAGCGCTGCTTGGCCTGCGCGTGGGGAATGCCGAGCTGGCCCATACTTAACCCAAACCCCCCCAACCACCCTTGCCCCATCCCTCATTCCTCCCCATCCCCCCATTGTTCCCCACCCCACCTGCACGTGGCAGCGGGCATGAAGGGGCAGCGCTGCTTGGCCTGCGCGTGCGGGATGCCGAGATGGCCCATATTTACCCCCACCCCCCAACCACCCATCACCCCATTCCCATTCCTCCCCTTCCCGCCATTGCCCCCCACCACCGCACCTGCGCGTGGCAGCGGGCATGAAGGGGTAGCGCTGCTTGGCCTGCGCGTGGGGGATGCCGAGCTGGCCCAGCAGCAGGCGCAGGCGCCGGAGCCCGGGCTCCGTCCAGGTCTTGAGCTTGGTGGCGGGGTAGGAGGAGTAGAGCAGCGAGTCAAAGAGGTTCCACCGGGGGAGACACATGAGCCGTAGCCTGGGGGGTGTGGGGAGAAGAGGGGGGAGAGGAGGGGAGGAGATGGGAGGGGAGGGGAGGGGAGGGGGAGGGAGGGAGGCGAGGGAAAACTAGGGCGAGCAAACGCGATTGGTGGAGGGGAATATAGCCGGGAGAGGAGGAAAGTCAGTCAGTACAGAGCACGGGTGAGAGCGCAACCGTGAAAAAGATCCGGGCATGTCAATGAAAGCCAAGTGAGCGAGAGGTGGTAGGGGAACAGAGGGGGTAGGGCACGGCGGACGGAGGCAGGGCGGGACTGACTCGTGCTGGAACTGTATGCGGCCCATGTCCGGTAGCTTGACCGACACGCCATCCTCCATCACTGCTGCCCGTGGCGCCTCCATGGCCGCTGCTGTCGTCACCTGTGTGGTGTGCGGTTGGGTTGGGTTGGGGTAGGGTGGGTTGGGGTGGGTTGGGCAGGGTGAGTGGGGAGAGCGGAAGCAGAAAGACAGGGAGCAAATGCGGAAGGGAAGGACAGAGGAGGAGATTGAGAGTGGAAATGGGAGACAGTGTGGAAGCGTGGATAGTGCGCAGATGCATTGTGAAAACGATCGTGCTTGGGAAACTCTCAAAGGGAGGACAGGAGAAGCACAGCCACAAACATTCACCCCTCCCCACGTCACTCCCCCTATCCCCCCACACACACATGTACACACGCAGACACACGCACACACAGACATACACACACACACACACAAACACACACACACACACACACACACACACACACACACACACAGAGCCCCCACCTTCTCCTCCAGGTCGAGGCAGCCAGCAGTGTAGTGCTCGGGGGCAAGACGAGAATGCACAAACTGGTCTGTGATGGACACACACGCGAGCCTGCGATGTGGGGGTGGGGGCGGGGGGGGGGGGGGGAAGGGAAGCAAAGGAGGGAGGGTGCGAGGAAGAGGCGCATGTATGAACGGCGGGCTGCAGTGCAGTGCTCTGAGGCAAGACAAGAATGCACCAACCGACCTGTGATGGACACACACGCAAGTTCGTGGAGAGGAAGGGGAGAAGGGTGTAGGGAGGAGGGGAGCGGTGGTGATGGGAGTGACCGGGATTTTGATAGATTGGTTACAGTGCAAGTGCCTGAGAGCAAGGCAGGCACAGCCCAAAGGGTGTGGGCGGGCGGGAGAGCACAAACAGGACTGCCATGGACAGAGGACATACATGCGAGCTTGGGAAAAGGGAGGAGGTGGGGGGGGAGAGAGGAGGGAGGAGAAGCGATGGGCAAAGCAAGTTGATGCCACACAAAACCACATTTACCCGTCCCTCCTCTCTCCCCTCCGTCCCACTTACCCTCCCCTCCGCCCTCCCTCCCACCTGTCGCCCCTCCCTTCCTTCTCGACTCTACCTCCCTACTGGCATCTGTCTCACCAGAGGTGTTTACTCATGTCTCGCCACATGCCATGCGCCATCTCAAACACCAAACCTCGGGACGTATTTTCCGACTCCACCAAAACAACTCCCCCAAACGCTCCGAAACCCCATACAACCCCCTGTTTCCCCCTCCCATCTCCTACATCCCTGCCTCACCAGAGGTGCTCGCTGGTGTCTCGGCGCATGCCATGCGCCATCTCAAACACCACACACCCCGACGGCTGCCCAAAGAACGATCCCCGGTTGTAATACTCAAGCCTCACCCTCCGCCTCTCCCTCCTCCTCGCCCTCACAGCCGGATCCCTCTCCCTCTCCCTCTCCTCCTCCCTCTGCCGCCTCCGCCTCCCCCTCTCCCCCCTCCTCCTCCCTCTCCTCTTCCTCCTCTCCGTCCCACCCCCAAACCCATCATCGTCATCATCATCATCCTCTCCCTCACTCCCCCCCGCATCACCACCCCCACGTCTCCGTCCCCCTCTCCCATTCCCCCTGCCCGGGCTAAACCCATCCGAGTCAGAATCAGAGGCGGAATCAGAGTCGGATTCCCAAGGGGAGTCGTCCCCGTCGCTGCCGCTGCCCGTTGCGCCCTGGTCCGCTAGTATCCGCGCTAAGAAGGGGTCCTCTGGCTCGCTCTCTGGAGACTGCGCTAGCACCACCTGGCGATGAAGGGGGGAAGGGGAAAGGTGGTGGGGGAGAGAAGGGGATACGAAGGGGTCCTCTGGCTCGCTCTCTGGAGACTGCGCTAGCACCACCTGGGATGAAGGAGGGGGAGGGGAAAGGTGGGGACGGAGAGAAGGGGATAAGAAGGGGCCCTCTGGCTCGCTCTCTGGAGACTGCGCTAGTACCACCTGAGGATGAGGGGGGGAGAGCAAGGGAAGGGGGGGGGAGAGAAAGGGAGGGGAGGAGAAAAAGGGAGGTGGGGGAGGGAGGTGGCAGTGCAATGGGCAGGATGTTTGGGGAGAGGGTAGGAAAATCGAGGGTGGGAAGGGGAAGAGAGGGGGTGGGGGAGGAGGGGATAGGAAGGGGTCCTCTGGCTTGCTCTCTGGCGACTGGGCTAGCACCACCTGGGGATGAGGGGGGAGGGGGAATGGGCTTGATGGAAAGGGGAGAGGGTAGGAAGAGGGGGGGAAAGGGGGGGACGGGGTGAAGAAGGGGATAAGAGGGGGTCCTCTGGGTCATTCTCTGGGGACCGGGCTAGCACCAGCAGGGGATCAGGTGGGGGGAAAGGAGTTGTCAGGACGATAAGGGGAGGAAGTAGGATGTGGTGGGAAACAAGGGAAGGGGTGAGAGGCGGTGAGAGGGGAGGGGGAAGAAGTGCTCATGCCCCATCCCCATGCCAAGTACTCACCCCATCCTCACACCAACGGCCACACCTGCTCCATCACCCGCCACTGCACCCACACCACACCCCCGCCCACATCCGTACTTACAACCTCACCCGCATCACCCATGGCACCTTGGTGTTGTGCAGAGCGGCGTTGGTGAGATGCACGGGGCGATGGCAGTCCAGCACAAAGAGCGACACAGACGGCCCCACCCCCAGCAGCCCACACAGGTCCTCCGTCGCCCCGCAGTTGAGAAACACTGCTGTGTACGCCTGGAGGTTGGACGCGGGAAATAAGGGACGGGGCACGGGAATGAGGGTGAATTCTAATTCAATAGACTCGGAAGCCCTGTTTCCCAGCAGCCCACACAGGTCCTCCGCGGCCCCGCAGTTGAGGAACACTGCTGTGTACGCCTGGCCCAAGGGCCGAGGGGGACAGGGAACGGGAATGGGGGACGGGGGACGGGGAACAGGGTGGGGAGTGCATGTGGAAGAGGGTGTGTGGACGAGTGAAAAGAGAGGGGAGTGAACGAGAGGGTTTCATGTGAGGTTGAGGTCTTCTTAGGCGGCTCAGAAGCCACGGCTGCCAGCAGCCTACACGGGTCCTCCATGGGCCCGCAGTTGAGGATATAGGAAGGGGGAATAAGGAACGGGGAGAGGCGAATGGGAGGGTGGAAGCGTGCAAGGGGATGGGGGCCAGGTGAGTGGGTACGGGGTTTGGGCGGAGACAGGTCATGTGAATGCGGGGCATGGCAGCATGCCGGATGGCATGTGGTAGGGAGGAACGCGCACTGACCTGGTTACCAGCCGCAGCCTTGTTGGCATGTGCGGTGATGTCATCATAGCCATACACGGGGAACACCGAGTACTGTAGCGAGTCAGCTCGTAGCAAGTCCTGTTGGGGACAGGACATAGAGCAAACGGAAGAGCAGGGAAGGGGCAGAAGAAGGATTGCGGAAGAGCAGTGGAAGAGCAGCGGAAACAGAAGAGGAGGGAAAACGGGCGCAGCAGCAGGGGTGGGTAGAATGATGACTCAAAGTCGTTTGGTCGTTTCGCACCCTATCAAGCACACCACTCTTCTCTCCGCGCTCAATCACGCAAATGGATGATGGGTGGATTTGCGGTGCGGCTCCAAAACGGGATTTACGGGGAACGACTCAAAATCACTCGTCTTCCCTTCGAAGCACTGCGCTTCCCCTCGCTTCTCACTCCTCATCCTCCACCACCCTTGCAACAAGCAACGGGCGACGGCCACGCGCTCGTGCCGTGAGGACCTTGAGCGCGCCGGCGACTTTTCAGTTTACTTAAAAGTTTCTGGTGGGGTGCGGCGGGCGGCGGGCGGCGGGCGGCGGGCGGCGGGCGGCGAGCGGCAGGCGGCAGGCGCGTACCGTGAGGATCTTGAGCGCGACGGCGGAGTCGACGTAGATGCCGGCGACGAAGACGTGCAGCGTGTGGTCGACGCTGCGCGCGCACGACTCCTTGAGCCGCTCGTAGAACCGGAACAGGTCCTTCTCCAGTACCATGGCGCCACGTGCCGCACTCACGCGCCTCCCACGCGTCGCGGGCCACGCGCCCACGCGGCTGAGGGCTAAGGCGCGTCGGAATTAAGCGAGGACCTTGGAACCCAGGAATTCAACGGTAGGGTCTAGACTAGAGCTACTCGAATGGACTGGTACGACGCGTAGTCTAGGGAAAGAGTAGAGGAGGAACGGCGGCAATGGCGGCGGTTTGGAATCAACGGGAATCGTTAACTGGGATGAGAATGCTCAGTGTGCTACTCTGATGGACTGATCGAACTTAGGGTAGACGGCAAGCGATGGTAGAACCTAAACAGGTGATTTTCCAGTACCATGGCGCCACGTGTTCACGCGTGCTCCACGGCGCCGCGTCCACATAACACGAGGCGTTGAACCGGCAAGTCGAATGCAACTGTACGGTCTAGTTCCAGTCAAAAATTGCAAAGTGCAGTGCCGGGTAGAGCTTCGGAGGAAAATAAATGCTTGCCTTTCAGCATGTACTAGTTACGGGGACGCGAACGCGAACAGACGAAGCGCGAAGGGGGGTTGCCGTATCTGGCTGCCTTAGTTACAGAGGTACTACCTCATCCTGCCAAGTGAAGTGGCTGGTGTGTGTAGCTTGGCTGTTCCTCGTTTGCCTTGCACTCCAGATCTACCGTGGTGTTCAGCGGTCTGGTTTTGAATTTCCAGATTCTGTATCGAATAGTGCTTGTGATGAAGTGTATCGAGTGCGCGTAGCTTTCAAATTTTCGGATCCAACTGGCTCGGTACAGTCACATCGGGGATGGAATATGCAGCCTGAACCTTGGGGAAAGCGCGGGAGCGTAAGAGGGACGCTCCCCGGGTAGCCCGCCAAATATTTGATGCCGAGCCTAAATACTTACCTGGCTTCCCTGTCATTTCGAGCCTCAAACCTGAACCAAACCCCAGACATCAAAATATTCGCTTCCCCTTCGTGTTGCCAAGCCTGCCCAACCTATCCAAACCTCAGACCTCACACGCACCTCTGGCCTCACACCAAACAAGGCTCACAAAACAGCAAGAATGAAACTGTGAAGCAGGCTGAAATTTGTTGGGAGAAAACCAAATTCAATTCAAGGTTTCGTTTCGATGTTGCAGATGTCCAGGGGGACCAACGCGAACAGCCACCATCGTTTTGATCTCCATACATCGGCCTCATCACAAATATCGATACCATCTTCCGCAATGCGTTTCCCTATGAAGGAAAAGACATTTTAACGTTTTCCTTTCCCTTTTATTTTTTATCTCCATCGACCGCTCCGCACATCCCCGCATCTGAATGTATCGTCGAGCGTCGCGCAGCCATGGCTGCGACACCCGTGGCTGGTGAGAGGGGGGGTGGTGGTGGTGTGGAAAGAGCAGAGAATGTTAGGGAGTTAGAGGAGGAGCAGGCGGAGGGGGAAGAAGAGGAAGAGGATGAAGTGGAGGATGGGGAAGAGGAGGATGAGGAGGAGGAGGAAGGTGAACTGCGGGCTGCATCCCCTAAAGGTGCTTCTGTCCGGCAGTGCTGCTGGTGGTAGAGGGAGCGAGAGTGGGTTGAAGAGGCGAAGAGGAGAGGCGGAGGGGTCGGCAGGGAAAGGGAGTAAGAGGCGAGTGGGTTTTGCTGGGGGAAGAGGAGAACGGGAATGGGGTGGGTGGAATTAGATGGGGAGGTGGAGGGCATGGTCGAATGAGGAGTGAAGAGGAGGAGGAGGAGGAGGAGGAGGAGGAGGAGGAGGAGGAGGAGGAGGAGGAGGAGGAGGAGGAGGAGGAGGAGGAGGAGGAGGAGGAGGAGGAGGAGGAGGAGGAGGAGGAGGAGGAGGAGGGGAGGAAGGAGGGGGTTGCAATTCAGCGAGAGGGCGATGACAATGAAGAGGGAAGAGTAGCATTAGCTAGGTGAGACGGTGGGTTGTTGTTTCTTTGTAGAACGAAGGCTGACTGGCAGAGGCACCGGCTTCACATGCCAGTCCGTATCATTGCCGCTCTGGATTGCTGGCTCGCTTTGTCATGTTGACGGGTCGCGCCGCCAAGCCAGATTGCTGGGAATATTGCTCGGGACTTCTTTCAATCCTAGTGTGTTTTCTGTGCTTCTTCCACACGTGATGCTTCGCTGCTTGTTCCATGCTTATATACACTCCCTGTCCCTGCTTCTCCGCCAATTGCATGCACCGTCCTTTTCCTCCTCCCTACCAGCAGTGGGCGGAGCCAAAAGGCCACTTTGGCTCCTCGTGGGCCTGCTGCCGCTGCTGCCACTGTCCGTAATGCTGCCGCTGCTGCTGCCACACGCACACACACGCACGCACACACATGCACACTCATGCACATGCACACGCACGCACATGCACACGCACGCACATGCACACGCATGCACATGCACTCACATGCACACGCACACCCACACACACACTCGCACACATGCAGGCACACGCACACATACTCTTTCACTCACACACACACTCACACACACACACAGCCACACACATGCCTTCTTGACCATGTGGTCATACCCTTTAACCTCCATGTATCCGTCTCTCCTTGTTCACTTCTCCACACTATCGCCTCTCCAGTGTCGATACTCCACCCGTGCAGCTCGCCCCCCATGTGTCTGCCTCCTCATTGCAAGTCCTTACACTTGCACCACACACTGTCTCCATCTCTCGCCTTCCCTCGCGTGCTCTTCCTCACTCGCCCTCTCTCTCTCTCCCTAGCCCTCTCCTCCACCACCCTCTCTCCCTCCCTCGCCCGCTCTCCCTCCATCGCCCCTTCTCCCTCCCTCGCCCTCACTCCCTCCCTGTCCCTCTCTCCCCTACCTTCATCAGGAGCTGATGGAGAGGCACAGGGCAGCAGCGGACAAATGGAAGCCTATTCTGCAGCACGGCCTGCACCGGGCAGTGTACTGCACACACCGTCTCCATCTCTCTCCCTCTCTCCCTATCTCTCTCTCCCCCTCACTCTCCCCTGCCTGCCTCATCAGGAGCTGAGGGAGAGGTACAGTGCTCCGTACACTGACCTACCGCCACGGACCAACCTACCGAACTATTAACTTACCTACCTGCTTATACCCACCTATTTACCTACTTTCCTACCCTCGTACACACCTACCTGCCTACCCACCCAGCCACCCATCTACCTACCTATCCAGCCACCCATCTACCTACCCACCTACCTACCTAGCTATCTACCAACCGAGTAGTACAGTGCATCAGTTTGTGCCTGGTGTTGAACAAAACCGCGTACAAGCTCTACTACTCACCACTGACTACCTCCTGGGCCATTCCTCCTCACCGCACAACCACCCTGAACCACCCCTCTCAACCGCTCTCTGAAGCGCCACCCAACAGTCAGTGCCATCCAGCCGATCGGCGGAGTCTACCCAGGAGAGCAGGGTAGCGTGCTGACACACCTGACATGTGCATGTACGGTATCAAAGTGTGTGGTGCTGTACGTGGTTTTGCTTTGCCTGGTCCTCCAGAAGTTTTACTTATACGGTATGGTAGCTCAACCTAGAATGCACCTACACCCATGTTGTTATCCCACCAACTAGCTGGCTCTGTGGTTGTCTTTAAAACTTGTCCATCCCACGAACAGTATTGCACGTATTGCTTTTAGAATCGTGGATTTTGTAGGCAAAGCTGCCTGTTCCTCACCTCTAGGTATGAGCATTGTCAAGTCAGAATCTAAGTCCCAATCCCAATGAAATTGAAGGGAGTGACCGCAACTAAAATTAGCATAGAGCATTCCAATCCAAATCTATTTTTATACATTACATGGCCGGTGCAGGTGTTGTAAATATTTGTCAGTAACTAATCATGAATGAATACACTCTGCTTGCTCCAATCAAGATACCAGTTAGTAAAAACCGACCTAAGGTGCATCCCTCTCACATTGCACGAGCTCCACGCACTTGAGTGAATCACCGCGTGGGTCACGGAATTCACAATATACGCCCCAACCGTGCTTTTATCCCCCTTGACTATATTCCGAAGTTCAGTGTAGACTGTAGACGCCATGCTGAGCAGAGCCAGTCTCTCCTCTTGAGTGCAGTACTGGTCCCGCCACGTCACCTGGTCCCACGATCTCCTCTCCACTATCAGGCTCACATTCGGCCGCTGCTGAAACAGCTCATCTCTAAGGCACTTGGCGTTGTATGCGGTGTTTGGCCCCAGCTGGTTACCAAATGGTATCAGAACGAGGTCAAAAAGAGCTTGGTAGATGAAGATGGGGGTGGTTACTGTGGGCAGGGCATACTGTGGGAAGAAGCACATCCAGGATTCTGAGACGCCTGCAGTGGGGTGGGGTGGGGTGGGGTGGGATGGGATGGGATGGGATGGGGTGGGATGGGATGGGATGGGATGGGATGGGATGGGATGGGATGGGATGGGATGGGATGGGATGGGATGGGATGGGATGGGATGGGATGCCGGGAAAAAGGAACGAATGTTATGAAGGGCGTGAGAGAGAGTGCATGCCAAAGTGGCGTCCAGGTGCCCGGTGATGTGTGATAGAAGAAGTGTTTTTAAATGAGACGCTTCTGGACGTCTCACCACACTTCTTTTATCACGTGGCGTCCAGGTGCCCTCTGATGTGATGTGGCAAGTATGTGATGGCTGGCAGGCATGATTAGGGCGTGGAAGGAAAGGCATGGGGCGAGGTGACGCATGCGGGCCATGGGATGCGGCGCAGAGAAGCCATACAACTGCTTGCAAGCCAGATGGTGAAGTATCTTCTGGGAGGATTGATGATTGCGGTCCATTCATGTAAAGCACCAGTGCGTGTGGCGGCACCAGTGCATGTATATCACTGGTCTGTGTGCGTGCATGTGCAGCCTACCTCTAGAGCAGGGGGGGATGTTGATCTGGTGGATGGAAGGACGCCACTTGCTGCTGTTTCCAGTCAACTCAAAAGTCACGTCGTTTTTTTCAAGACTCAAGAGTTGCCGCACTCATGAGCCGGCCGGGTCTAAAGGCGTACCTCTAGGGCAGGGGGGGATGTTGATCTGGTGGAAGGCCGCCACTTGCTGCACTTTCCCGTAAACTCAAGAGTCGCGTCGTGTTTTAAATGACTCAAACGTTGCCACTCTGATGAGCTGGGCCGGCCGGGTCTAAAGGCGTACCTCTAGGGCAAGTAGGGATGTTGATCTGGTGGAAGGCCGCCAGTTGCTGCACGCTGTCCCGCCACCGGTACTGCCCAAACCGGTCCTTGGCATCTGCACGTGAGAGGGGCGGGAGGGGGCAGGCAGGGTGGGCGAGAGAGTGGAGGGATGACTTTTGAGTCGACTCAGAGGTCACTCGCTGCACGTTGTCCCGCCACGCCACCGGTGCTGCTCGAACTGGTCCTTGGCATCTGCCGCACGTGAGAGGGGCGGGAGGGGGCAGGTTGGATGAGAGAGTGAAGGGTTGTTTGGCGCACCGCATGCGCAATAGTGCGAGAGATGCATGGATGCACACAGCATTTGGGTGTTGCAGAGGGAAGGGAAGTAGATTGTGTGCTGGCAACGACAGGAAAATGCTGGTTGGGCGTTTCCCAGCAGCAGCAGCAGCAGCAGCAGCAGCAGCGGCGGCGGCGGCGGCGGCGGCGGCGGCGGCGGCGGCGGCGGCGGCGGCGGCAGCAGCAGCAGCAGCAGCAGCAGCAGCAGCAGCAGCAGCAGCAGCAGCAGCAGCAGCAGCAGCAGCAGCAGCAGCGGCAGCAGCAGCAGCAGCAGCAGCGGCAGCGGCAGCAGCAGCACTGACCAGCAAGGAAGCCTGCATCTGACAAGCACTTGGTGTAGGCGGCAGGGAAGGCAGCAGCCACGCGGTCACACAGCATCACCACTGCCTGCCCTCCTGCTGAACTGCCCGAGAGCAGGATGTGCGATGCTGCTGCCATGCCCCTCTTCTCCCTCACATCTGAATGGGATGGGTGAGGCGGTGGTGACGAGGAGGAGGGGACTCTTGAGTCGCCTCTAAGGTCACGTCGTTACAATGGCACACGCCACAAAAAGATGCGCGGCGCTGCTGCCATGCCCCTCTTCTCCCTCCGGTCTGCATGGGGACGGGTGAGGCGGTGGTGGTGACAAGAAGGAGGGAGGAGAGATTAAGGCCGAAGGAGGAGGGAGGGGGGAGGAGGGACGAGAGAAGAGGGAGGAGGGAGGAGGGAGGAGAGATGAGGGAGGAGGGAGGAGGGAGGATGAGGGGGGTTACTGACATGCCTGGACACAGTCAGGTGCCGCACAAGAAATCAAGGCAATCCTTGTCTACCCTCCTCGCATCCGTACCGTACCGACGTCACTTCCATCATCATGCCCTCACCTTGCAGAGAACCGCCTGCACAATGTTCCACCCGCCCAGGTACAAGCTCCTGCCACCTGCCCCCGGGGTGCCCGTGTACCCGCCCCCATCGCAGTACAGCAGGCCAGGCGCACCAGGTTCCACCCCCATGCGAGTAAGCAGCCATGCAGCATGAGCCAGCCACCCACCTTGCAGCACCGCCTGCACGATGTTCCACCCGTCCAGGTACAAGCTCTTGTTCCCCGCCACGTCTATGCGCCCTCTCGTGCCCGTGTACCCGCCCCCATCGCAGTACACGAGACGCACCAGGTTCCACGCGTGGAAGGCCGGGTTGACTGCTGCGCTGCTGGATAGCAGCCCGGTAAACGCGGGGTATACCTTCTGGGGTGGGGAGAATGGGGAGGTGCAAAAAGAGGGAGCAAAAAGAAGGTGTAAAGGAAAGGTGCAAAGGGAACCAAGGCAGGGTTGACTGCTGCGCAGCTGGATAGCAGCCCGGTAAACGCGGGGTATACCTTCTGGGGTGGGGAGAATGGGGAGGTGCAAAAAGAGGGAGCAAAAAGAAGGTGTAAAGGAAAGGTGCAAAGGGAACCAAGGCGGGGTTGACTGCTGCGCTGCTGGATAGCAGCCCGGTAAACGCGGGGTATACCTTCTGGGGTGAGAAAAGGAAGCACGGGGAAGGCGCAAAAGGAAGAAGAGGGAATGCAGCACGGGAATGACAAACGGAGGAGCAGAGGTGGAAAAGATGGGAAAGGTAGATTGAGGGCGGTGGGGAGGGAGGGGGAAGCGGGGAGGCGGAAGGCCGGGGGTGTGCCTTGGTGCGGCTCGAGCGACTAGCTACGGGCTTCTGTTCTCCCTTTTTGCCCCTCTCCCTTCTGCTCGCATTGCACAACACCATCAGGCACACCAAATGGCATCTTCCATCTTCCATGCAGTGAATGCATGCCACGCTTGGCTTGGGGAACCTGTGTGTGTGCGCTGGGCTGCTTCTGGCTGATAGCAACCCGGGTAGGACAGGTGGGCAGGGAGGTGGACGGAAGGGAGACAAGGGAGGGTAGGGATTGAGGGGGGAAAGGAGAGAAGGGAGACCAGGGAGGGAAATGTAAGCAGTGGGAGGGTGGAAAGAGAGGATCAGGGTATAGGGTTTACAAGTTTTGATGGTGGGGAGTGGGAGCAAGAGGGCGTCAGTGAAAGTTGGGGGAATATTATACAGGGTGGGGATGGGATATCATCGAAAACTTAAAGTTTGGACCACTTCTGGCTCTCATCGCCCTATATCTCATCGCCCTATATCTATATCTCATCGCCCTATATCTCAGCGCCCTATATCTCATCGCCCTATATCTCATCGCCCTATATCTCATCGCTTTATATCTCATCACCCTATATCTCATCGCCCCACCTCTCATCACCCTATATCTCATCGCCCTATATCTCATCGCCCTATATCTCATCGCTCTATATCTCATCACCCTATATCTCATCACCCTATATCTCATCGCCCCACCTCTCATCGCCCCACCTCTCATCTCCCCATCTCCCATCTCCCCACCTCGTACCAATCAACCATGCATTTGTTAATTGATTAAAATTCCCGGGACTAGCCCGTAGCTATTCCAAGTGAGTCACTGACCTTGCTGCCGCGGCCAGCAGCAGCAGCAGCCTCGGCGGCCCACGGGGTGGATGAGCCGAGGAGGTTGAGTGACCGCTTGGCGCAGCTGCGCTCGTCGCCGCACCACGCGCCCACCGGCAGGTGCACGTGCCAGTTCGCCCGCCCCGCGCCCCTGCCCCGCCGGATGTAGTACCCCGGGGGACTGCGCGGGATGGGATGGGGGAAACGAATGGGTTGGGAGGGGGCAAGATGAAAGGAAAGGAAAAGCTAAGGGAGAGGGCAGACCGGAACGGGGGACATCGGCTGTTAGAGAGGGAGGGAGGAATGGAGGAAGAGAGAGGATGAGATGAGGCATGCGGGTGGGTGGCTCATGCGGTGGGACGCGAAACCATGTAGTGGAGATGAGGCAAGGCAAAAGAGTAGGTGGTAATCTGTGTCTCTGCACTGCAGAGCAGAGCAGAGCCGCACCGTGCTGGACTACGCACGGTGCGTGCTGCAGGTGGCGCGCGGGCGGGTGGCGAAGGCTGAGGACGCGTTACGAGGGAAGCGAAAGGCAGGGTTGAGTGATCTTTCTCCCATGTGATGTGAGGGAAACGGGCCGGATCATGACGGGAGAGAGCGATGGATGATACCCCAGAATTGCGAGGGGCCCACCCATCGGATGGGGGCAAATGCCTGAACATTATTTCGAATGAGCAATAAGCGTTTCTTTTCAAAAAACGTCGACGATCGACATTTTTGTTGAGGTTTGAAACTCTTCGGACGTTCGATGCTCGTGTTCTTTCTAGACGACGTCAATCCTACGATTCCCTTTCGAAGCCACGTTTGCCGGAAAGCAGAGAAACTGTCATTACCGAATGGCGCTTAGCGATATGGAGGAAACGATCCACTACTCTTCCCGTCGGGAGCCGCCGCGACTGACGCTACCCACACGAAAGCTCCTTCTTTTCCCTGTGCCTTTACCCCACATTGCCACCCCCGTCCCCTCGAACGCACTCACCTGCCGTCGAGACATTTGGCGCCGAACGAGTTGTTTCTCAAAAGCACGAGGCGCACTGCCCCCGGCTTCTGCGTCTTTCTCGACGCCCGCGTCGCTTGCGACTCGAAAGAAGCAGTAATAGCGTCGCTGATGGAAGCTTCGCCGCGGATGCTGCTACCGGCGATCGGCGCGCGATTGTCTCCGTCGACGCGAGCAGTGTTGAAGCTGAGGACGAGAAGCAGCAGCACGAGTAAGGGTATTCTACTCGATGGAAGCCTTGTTGACGGAGTTGTTGCGGTTAGTACTGATGGCGTCTGATTCAGTCCGACGAGTCCTTTGAGGAGTCGTCTCCGGCGTGCACGTGGTGGTAACGTGAAGCAGTGGCGACGCAGCGCGTGGTGCACCGCGGGATCAGGTTGCGAAGGCATTACGACTGCTGTCTTTCATAAGCTGGCAGGCGCCCTCCCGAGGATCGGGCCGCGTAAGCGGCAGTTGTGATAGGGTTTCGACGGTCGAGTTAGTAGGGGCTGATTTGAATGCGAGACTACTGAAATCTGCGTCTGGAGGCGGATTGAGACGACAAATTTACAGCTTTCCAGTGCGGGGGCTGGTTAGAGGAAAGGGAGTAGCGGGGGTTCTGATCAGATGTGGTATATTCGGTTAGGTGTGGTGGGGAACGGTATGGGCAACTGGAGAATTGTGGTTCGGATGGGCTTTGCGTGTTTTGTGGCATGGTATGGAGGGGGTTTGTGGTTCGGATGGGCTTTGCGTGATTTGTGTGGCATGGTATGGAGGGGGCTTGTGGTTCGGCGAGGTGGTCGGGGTTTAGCTGGGAAATGTGCCGCGGCTCCATCGTGTGGTTCAGGGCGGTTGTTAGCATGCCAGCTGGTCGGCTTTCCAGACATAAAATGTTTTGTGACGGTGTACGGTTTGGTTTGGTGTGGTTCGCTATGGTGGTGTCGTGTATTGATCGAGGGCAGACGTCAAGGCGACAAAAGGGATGTTTCGCTGGGGACAGCCAGCTGGTTAGGCCAGCACCCGTCCTTGTACCTAACCTCGAGACCTCATCCCCTGGTAAATTCGACGCCGCCTTTGACCAAATCTGGCGACTCCGCAAGTCGGCCTGGTCGCCTACTGCTAAGCCCCCTGGTCTACAGAATCATTAAAAACAAAAAAGTGAATATATGCATTCCATCTACAACAGGTGCAGACTACGGTAACTCCACAATCATTCCGTGTTTGAAATCTCAAGGCGTAGGATGCTCAATTCACACCATACGGTACATTGCCACCAGACAGTGGCAAATACAAGTCACTTGGCAGCCCTGCTAGCCAGCACATCCTGACTACCGTAAACGCGCAGCCTGTGTGAGCAAGCTCATCAAGGAAACTGCGAGTGGACATGTTGCAAAACTGAAACTCCTTACAGTTTTCAACGGGTTATGTAATAAAATTTCAACATGCGCTTATAATACCTTAAGACACATCGGTAAAAACAACACTGCGCTTATTATTGAGCACCAGATATACGTAAGCGCAGTGATCCATATAGAAGCGCATGCGCTTATCATACGCCCGCGCTTATACAGGTGACACAGTACCACTAGCACCACCATTACCACTAGCACCATCATTACCACAAGCACCACCATTACCACTAGCACCACCACCACCACCACTACCATCACCACTACCACTACCACCACCAGCAGCACTATCACTGCCACTACCATGACCACCACCACCACCAGCACCACCCGCATAACCAGCACCATCAACACCCGCACCTTCACATCCCGCACCACCAGCAACATCACCAACACCACCACCCGCACCATCACCACCACCACCACCCGCACCATCACCACCACCACCACCACCACCACCACCACCACCACCACCCTCACCATCACCACCACCACCACCACCACCACCACCACCACCACCACCACCACCACCACCACCACCACCACCACCACCACCACCACCACCACCACCACCACCACCACCACCACCACCACCACCACCACCACCACCACCACCACCACCACCACCACCACCACCACCACCACCACCACCACCACCACCACCACCACCACCACCACCACCACCACCACCACAACCACCACCACCATCACCAGCACCATCACCAACACCACCACCACCACCATCACCAGCAGCACCATCACCATCACCACCAGCAGCAGCAGCAACAGCAGCAGCAGCAGCAACAGCAGCAGCAGCAGCAGCAGCACGGCTGTTGCGTATAGCTGCTCGCCTTTCTTTACTCCTCCTCACCTTCTCCTGCGCAATCTCCATGAACTTCCTCAACTCCTCCTCCATCTGCTCTTTCATATCCTCCACCAACCTGTGCGTCTCCCCCTTCACCCAGTCAACTATAGCCCACAGCTCCCTCGCATGCTCCTCCCGTTGCTTCTCCTCTTCTGCAGTCAGAGGCTCCACCATCGCTGCCATACTCGCCTTTGCTCCCTCCACAATAGCAGCCACGTTGCTTCGAGCGTGCCTCAGCAGGAGCGCACAGGAGCCAGTGGGGGGTGGGGGTGGGACGGAGAACTGGAGTGGGGTGGATATACCAGGCATGTGTGGGAGAGGCGGAGTGTTGGGGGGTACGCTGTGGGTTGGTGGAGGGCGGGGGGCGTATGGGGGAGGAGGCATGTGAGGGGCGGTTGGGATGGTGGGGATGGTGGGGATGGTTGGAGTGGACATATGATCCGTGGCAGCGGCCCTGCCTCCATGCCGAACCTCATCATCACTGCCACCACGCTCATCAGTACCACCACCAACCTCCCTACCGACGCTGCTCACTCCCCCTGTCGCCTCCTCAGCCCTCCTAATCCTCTTCGCCCTCCTAACATCCTTCGTAAGACCTTTCGTTCCTCCCTCCTTGTCCACCTCCTCTCTACCATCCCTATCTTTCCCTTCTGAAATCTTCCCAGCAAAGCGCCCCTTGCCATGCCCTTCACGCCCCTTTTGCTGCCGCCTGTTCCTCCTCTTCACACCCCTTCCCAAACCCATCTGTCCAATCTCTTCGTTCCCCTCCCCCTCTCCCTCTTCTCCCTCCTCTCCCTCCTCTTCCTCCTGTGCCTCCTCCATCTCTTCCTTTCCATCCGCACCTCTCTCCCTCCCCTCCTTCCAAGCAGCACGTCCTCTGGAAGGAGGTAAGCCCTCTGGATTCTCTGAATTTGCAACACCCTTCTGCTGCTGCCGGCCTTTCCTCCTCGCATCCCTTCTCTCACGCATTGGAAACTCCACCACCTCCTCTTCGTCTCCCTCCTTCTCCTCCTCTCCCTCCTCCTCTTCCGCCGCCTCCTCCTCCTCCTCCTCCTCCTCCTCCTCCTCCTCCTCCTCCTCCTCCTCCTCCTCCTCCTCCTCCTCCTCCTCCTTCTCCGCCACCACCTCCTCCTTTTCCACCTCCTCTCCCCTACTCCCTAAACCCTCCCCAACCCCCCCACTCCCCCCTGTCCCATCCCCTCCACGTGCCCTTCTCTCCGCAGCCCGACTCCTCCTCCCCCTGATCCTCTTTCTCACACGCCTCGGATCACCCCACCCAACAGGGGCTACCCAGCTGCCGCCTTCGGACGGCAGCAGGAGAGCAGCAGGCACAGGCACCTTCAGCTCGTCTAGAAACATGCACGCCTGCGCCTTGCATATGGGCCATACCTTGGCTTCCCTCCGCCCCGTCTCTTTCATGTACCGCTCCCTCGCATGCACTGAGGCTTGTAGCAGGTGCAGCGGCGTGTGGTGTAGCTCCTGCCAGGTGGGAGGGGGTGGTGTGGGGCGAGGGGGGTTTTGGTAGGGTGACGATTTGGCTTCCCTCCGCCCTGACTTTTTCATGTATCGTTCTCTCGCATGCACTGAGGCTCGAAAAAGGTATCACGGGTGTGTTGTGTTCTGTTGCTCCTGCCGCCGAGGCGGTGGTGTGGGGAGAGGGCGTGATGAAGAGTCGGGGATGTTTCCATCCAGGAAAGGCAATGGAGAGGATAGGGAGAGATTGAGAATGAATGAAACATGTCGCAAGGAAGGGGAAGAGAACGAGAATTACAAGGTCAGGTCAGGTGTGATGTGGCCTAACCACCAAATACGCAAAGCAGCAGACAAATGATACAGCAACGTGGTCTGGCCGAAACGTTCAGTTCTGGGAAAAGCGAACTGAGGAGAGAAATTAGGGCGAAGGACGAGAGGGGATAGGGGAAGGAGGGGCTGGAAGGGGTGGGAGGAACAATGGGAGGAGGAGGAGGAGGAGGAGGAGGAGGAGGAGGAGGAGGAGGAGGAGGAGGAGGAGGAGGTGTGGAGGGAAGGGGACCGAGCAGGGGGCCTAGGAGAGGGTGGAAAGGAACGACTGGGTGTTGTTTAAGTGGACTCAGAAGCGTCAGCGTGAGCGTGCGCGTGGGAGCAGCGGACCTGTTTGAAGTAGGCCATGCGGTTCTTGTGCGAGAGCACGAAGCCCAGCTCGTGCAGTGCAGCGTGCAGCACCTGCTTCACCGCCCCCATCAGCCTCCCGCGGATGCCGTACCAAGACACCCCCCCGCGCGGCATCATGCCCGCCGCCGCCTCCGCCGCCTCCGCCGCCGCCGCAGCCGCCACCTCCCGCCGATCCCGCGGAGCCTGCGGAGTGGGAGCGCTCTCCGTTGATCGGCGCGGCGGAGTCATGCCGGTCCCTCCCGGTCAACGCGGTCAAGCAGTCGCCACCGTGACTTTGCGGCCTTTTAGACTTTGTATATTCTCGCTTGTTATCTTGCTTTGCGGAACGCGCGGGGCTGGTCGTGGAAATTGGCTAGAACGCAACAGGGCGCGGCTCGAGACAGTGGCATTTGCTACGCATCAATTTCAAGACAGTGACACAAGTTCAGGGCGTGTGACTGGTGGGGTTTGAGTGTGGGGTCGAAGTGTGTGTGGTTACTGACTTCGCATGCGTCACAATGGTAACGGGCGAATAACGAACATAGGTGTCGTTGAAATTGCGTAACAAATCCTCCACTTCAGCATCCCATCGTAGGTTTCGCTACCAGTGTGCTTAGGAACCCCGATATCCAGGTTGTGCTCTAAACGATGATCAAAGGGTACACATCAGACTAATTATACAATCAAATAAAAAAAGACTCAAGCTTCAGCATTAATGGCATTTAGCCCAACCATTTGAGGACCTGACTTGCTGTACCCTCACATTAAGATTGGCCCAGATTCGGGTAGCTCATACGTTTTTTGTTTGCCAAACATGTGTAGCATCTTCGGGTGAGAACAAGTAATGTTTCAAAGCACCCAAACACATCCACACGAACGCAGGTGAATAAACTTGAAAATGCAGTGCACTCTCCAGGGAAAACAAATACTACAACCAACAGATGGAATTGGAAAAGGCCATTAGCGCTTGTAGACAGGCGAACACAATTTTCCAAAAAAAAAACAACGGGAACACACGAAAGTAGTTGGTCAAGGGGGGCAAGTACGTAGGAAGCTCGGCACGAGAAAACATCAAGGAAGAATGAGAGTTCCCACGGGCTCGCCACTGAGCGCACGCACAATGTTGCCTGGCACTGTTAGGTTGAACACGACCACTGTGTAGAGGGAGGGAGATGGAGAGGGGGAGAGGGGGCAGGTGGAGGAGGGGAAGAGGGGGAAAGGGGGAGAGGGGGAGAGTGGGGAAAAGGGGAGAGGGGCAGAGGGGGAAAAGGGGGAGAGAGGGGAAATGGAAGAGGCCATTGGGAGCGGGAGACGGGAGCAGGGAGCCGGGGAGAGAGAAAGAGTGGTTGCGGGAACAGGTGGAGAGAGAGCGGGCGGCAGTGACGATTGGCATGCAGCAGTTTGTACCGTACTCGTGGCAGGGCATGATCATGAGTCTCACCCGGCACTGCATTCAATTCTCATGGCACCGCGTATAAGTGACCCCACACACCCGGGAATCTAATCCCATGGAGGAGCAAAGCATCGGCCCCATATTCAGTCACTTGGCTTCGCATGGCAGGGCTCCTGACTCTCACGAAGCAATCCATTTATTCTCGTGGCAGGCACAGTGTGCTGCTGGCTGGCTGGGGTGTCCATGACGCACAGCGGCTGCAGCTGCTGCAGAGGGCACAGCATGGACCCCACATCCAGTCTTACTGCATGGCAGCGTGTTAGCCTCACCTGGTAACCCCTTCTCTTGGCAGTGTGTTGGCCGTGGTGGTGTCCATGATTCTCCCACCCAACTATTGAATCTCGTCGCAGAGCAACACAATGACCCCCATACCCGGCAGCCCATTCTCATGGCACAGCGTGACAGCAGTGGTGTCCATGACACTCAGCTGCTCCAGCGTGAATAAATCTCCATGGGAGAGCACAGCATTCACCCTGGCCCACACCCAGTCTTATTGCACGCCAGTGTGTGCGACCCTCACCTGGTAGCCCATTCTCGTGGCAGAGCGTGTTTTTGAGACGTCTCAAAAATACCCTTTTTACATTTGAGCGTGATGCGTTGACAGTGGTGTCCATGACTCGCAGCTGCTGCAGCTTCTGCAGAGAGCAAAGCACGCATCCTGGTTCATACCCAGTCGTATTGCACGGCAGGCCGCGTGTCCCTCACCTGGCAGCCCATTTTCATGGCACAGCGTGATGGCGGTGGTGTCCATGACGCGCAGCTGCTGCAGCGTGACATCGCGGTGGGAGAGCAGTGGCAGCAGGCGCGCGTGCTCGTTGCTGCGCGGGTCTGAGTCATACACTCCGTCCACGTTCGTGGCCTTGAGCACCACCTCCGCGTCGACTGGGGGGTGCAAGTCGAAAGAGGGATGGGGACCGTGGGGGGAGGAGAGGAGAGGGGGACGAGGTTACCCTCCGTCCACGTTGGTGGCCTTCAGCACCACCTCCGCATCGACTGGAGGACGGGGAGAGACGGGAGCGAGGGGAGAGTGAATGTGATGGTTGTGGGAGGGGGCGGGGGAGGTGGGGGACAGGCGGTTGGAGGGGAAGAGAGTCGTACACGCGATCCACGTTGGTGGCCTTGAGCATCACCTCCGCGTCCACTGGGGGGTGGGGAGGGGAGAGGAGAGAGAGAATGTGATTGTTGTGGGAGGGGGAGGGGGAAAGCAGGGGAAGGGGAGTTGAAGAGGAAAGAGAGTCGTACACTCCGTCCACGTTGGTGGCCTTGAGCACCACCTCTGCGTCGACTGGGAGGAGGGAGGGGAGAGAGGCTAGAGAGAATGCCCGTGAAGGGGGAGACAGGAAGACGGGTGGTTGAGGTGCAAGGAGAGTTGTACACGCGATCCACGTTGGTGGCCTTGAGCATCACCTCCGCGTCGACTGGGAGGAGAGGGGGAAAGTGGCTGACGGGGGGTTGAAGTGGAAAGAGAGTCGTACACTCCGTCCACGTTGGTGGCCTTCAGAGCGACCTCCGCATTGACTGTGAGATGGAGCCATCCCTCATCCGTCTCTCCCAAAGCACCCCAAGAACGCACTCTCAACCACCCGGAGCGCAGCAGCAGCGGTATCTGTGGTAAAAACAAGGCTGCGCCACAGATATCAGCGGTTCAGCGGTTCTGGCAACGAAGATGGCCACACAGCCCTTCTCCAGGTGGCGCCATCCCCACATTCACTTGTTTCCCCACCCCAGCCCCCCCCATACACTTACTCTCAGCGGCCCGGAGCGCAGCAGCAGTACCTGTCGTAAAGAAAGGGTTGACGCCGGTGCCGGCAGCGAAGATGACGACGCGGCCCTTCTCAAGGTGCCTCACGACGCGGCGGCGGATGTAGGGCTCCGCCACCTCGCTCATGCGGGTTCATTCATTCATATGTATAAGAAAGGTTTGTGTTGCCGGTGCCTTTTGCGTCGCTTCACAACCCAACAACCCCTGATCCCTCCCTCCCAAAGCAGTCCCGAAGCTTACTTTCAGCAGCCCGGAGCGCAGCAGCAGTATCTGTCGTAAAAAATGGGTTGCCGGTGCCGGCAGCGAAGATGACGACGCGGCCCTTCTCAAGGTGGCGCACGGCGCGGCGGCGGATGTAGGGCTCCGCCACCTCGCTCATGCGGAAGGCCGTCTGCACGCGCGTGGCCACGCCCTCGCTCTCCAACGACGCCTGCAGGAATATGCCGTTCATCACCGTCGCTAGCATGCTGCAGAGGGAAAGGGGGGAGGAGACGGGGAATGGGGGGTGGAGGAGAGTAGGAGGTGGGGATTCCGGAGGGTGAGGGCACACACGCATGGCCACGCCCTCGCTCTCCAGAGATGCCTGCAGGAATATGCCGTTCATCACCGTTGCTAGCATGCTGTGGGGTGGGGGGGGGCAAGGAGGGAGAGATGGAAGGATGGGGAGAATGGAGGGGGGAGGGAGGGCGGACATGGGAGGGGCAGCACGCCTTCGCTCTCCAACGACGCCTGCAGGAATATGCCGTTCACCACGGTCACTAGCATGCTGGGGGGGGGGGAAGGGGGAAGGGGAGGGGATGGGAAATGGGAGGTGGAGGAGGAGGGTGGGAGGCGGGGATTGCAGAGAGTGAGGGCACGCGCGTGGCCACGCCCTCGCTGTCCAACGACGCCTGCAGGAATATGCCGTTCATCACCGTCGCTAGCACGCAGGGGGGGAAGGTGGAGTGGCGGCCGGGGGGATTGAGGGGAGTTGTTAAGAGGAGAAGGTGCAGTGCACACAGGAGAGTATGCCCTCGCACTCCATTTGCCCTCTCCTCAACTCCAGTCGCGCGATTCTAAAACCAAGAAAAGAACGGTAAAACATGTCAGCATCCAACCCGGCCCGACTAGACCTTGTTCCCTCTAGCAGCCCTATTCGCTCATTCATTCACCCAACCACCCACCCACCCACTTACCCACCCGCCCGCCATATGAGGTCCTTTCTTGATACGCCCCAGAAATAAATAGCCCACGCCCCTTTACCCACCCTATGTGGTCCGCTGATGCCCTGTCGAGCCCACTGACGCCCGACCACTTGGCCCCTCGGAAGAAGTTGCCCCCTCCCACCACCACTGCCACCTGCAACCACGGAGCAGACGCGTGAAGGAACGGAGGGAAGGGATGGACGGACGGGAGGACGGGGACGGGGAAGAGTGAGAGGGAGGAACCCTGTCACGCCCACTGACGCCTGATCACTTGGCTCCTTGAAAGAAGTTGCCCTCCCCTCTCCCATTACCACTGCCACCTGCCACCAGGGGACGGAGGGGGAGGGAAATTGCAGAGGGATGGATGAAAGGGACGGTAGGAAGGAAGGAGGCACGGGGGGAGTGAGAGGGAGGAAGAAGGGAAGCAAGGTAGGGTTGGTTTGGTAGGGTTGGTGACAGGGTTGGTAGGGTTGGAACTTGGTAGGGGTGATAGGGGTGGTAGGGGTGGTAGGGGTGGTAGGGGTGGTAGGGGTGGTAGGGGTGGTAGGGGTGGTAGGGGTGGTAGGGGTGGTAGGGGTGGTAGGGGTGGTAGGGGTGGTAGGGTCAGGTGTCAAAGGCGAGCATGTGGAGGGAAAGCATGTGTAACAGGGGGGTTGGGGTGGGAGGGAGAGGGTGGGGGGGGGGGGGGGAGGGAGGAATGTAAAACATAGGTCCCCCCTCCCTGGAGACCAAGGGTACGGACCCTCAAGGACATAGGATGACTGCCAGCCCTTGAGGGAAAATGAAGTGAAGTGAAATGAAATGAAATGAAATGAAATGAAATGAAATGAAATGAAGAATCTGTTTCTCTCATTTATGGATCCGAGGTGGGGAAATAGGCAGGGTTGGGCTGGACAATATGGTGGCGATGGGATGGTGTGGTGTGGACTATTGTGCACGGATAGTGTGGCCCATGATTGAGGTGTGAGGTTGGACAATAGGGGGATGGGATGCACTGCACTGCACTGCATTGCACTGCACTGCACTGCAATGCACTGCACTGCACTGCATTACACCATTGCCTTGCCTTGCGTTGCGTTGCGATTTTCGCAGGCGAAGCGAAATATGATGAAACTCAGCTAAACCTCGTAAACATGCTTCCCCTCCCAACGCACTCACACACGTAACAGCTGACACCGTTGCCACCCAAACAATCACTGGAATTTCACCGGACGTCACGTCACATCCACCACAGCCAACCAGCCTTCCCCTCTCCCCTTCTCTCTCCCCTCCCCGCCATTCCCCTCCCCCCCCAATCCCTTCCACCATCCCCCTTTTCCCTTCCCTCCTTCCTCCCGCTCCTCCCACCCCCTCCCCCTCCCTATTCCTGCTCACCTGCACGCCTCTGCGGCTAATGTGAGCCACTTCCCGCGCAATGCTGGTGAGGATCTGCCATGACCGGTTAGACGGACGGACACACGGAGCGTGCGAGTGGGGGAGGGAGGAGGAGAGGGGGAGGGGAGGAGAGGGAGAGGGGAGGAGGAGGGTGGGGAGGAGAGGGAGAGGGGAGGAGGGTGGGGAGGATGGAATGGGAGGGGTGGGAGGGGAGAGAGGTGCAGATGTCCGTTTTTTATTCGTCTCTAAAATAGGCCCCAAGCAATGCTGGCCATAGGAGAGGAGGAGATGAGATGAGATGCCAGAGGGTAGGGCACGGGGAAGGCAGGGGTGGTGGGGTGGTGCAGATGAGAAAAGCGGGGTCTGAGAACGAAATGCGAGGAGACGGGATGCCGGAGGGAAGGGAATGGGAAAGGGGTGGCGGGGGTCGGGGGTTGGGAAGGGAGGGGGGCAAGGGGAAATGCGGTCAAAACATGTTGCTGGCAAAAAGCTGGCTTCAAGGTTAAGTAAGCCCCCATCCCATCCCATCCCATCCCATCCCATCCCATCCCATCCCATCCCATCCCATCCCATCCCATCCCATCCCATCCCATCCCATCCCATCCCACCCCATCCCATCCCATCCCATCCCATCCCATCCCATCCCATCCATCCACCCATTCCCATCACCATCCCCAACCACCCCCAACCCCATCCCTCCATCCCCAGCACCCAACCTGGGCATCAATGTTGGAGGAGCCATCGCCTGCCAGCGCCTCGCCACTGACTTTCAGCAGCACCCGGCGCCACCGCGGCCGTGGCGTTGCTGCTGCCCCGTCGGCCTCTCTGCCTTCCCTCTCGCGCAATGCTGCTGCTGCTGCTGTTGCAGCTGCTGTTGTTCCTTCTGCTGCTGATGCTGCCGCTGCTGAGGCTGCTGCTGCGTCCCACGCCGCTGCTGTTTTCTGGACCTCATGCCCGGTGTGGGTTGCTGAGTTCTGCTGCTGCTGCTGCTGCTGGTGATGGTGCTGGGAGAATGCTAGTGGAGGGGACAGTGAGTGTGAGGGTGAAGGTGAGGGTGAGTGCGAGTGTGAGTGTGAGTGTGCCTCTGAGGCAGCAGAACCGTTCGAGTAACAATCACCAGGGTGAGAGAGTGCGTGTGCGTGCGTGTAAGCCACACCCTCTTCCTCCCCTGAATTGAGCTCCGCACAGTCATCCTCCTCGCCTCGCCACGTCTGCTGCTGGCTGTCATGGGCATGAGAGTGTGACGACAGCCGGTAGTAATGGTAATGACGGCGCTGCTGCTGGTGCAGGTGCTGATGATGATCCGGCTTGTTCTGTCTACCCAAGCAGTTGCTGTGCCTTCCCCTCGCACCATGCGCTGCTGCAGGGTTAGGACTGTGCGTTGCTACACCAGAGAAGGCACGACCCGTGCTGCCAAGCGTGCTGCTGCTGCTGCCACTGCTGCTGGTGCTGGTGCTGGTGCTGGTGCTGCGGATTGGTTGGAGAGAGGGGGGTTTGGGGTTTGTGGGAGAGCTGGTGGTGACGCTGGTAGTGGCGATGTTGGTGGTGGCGGCGCAGAGGAAGGAGAGAGTGAGTCTGGAGTGGGACGATGAGGTGCATGCGGACAGCTGGGCATACCTGCATGAACATGGGCCAGCACATGCACATGCACATGCACATGCACACACGTACATCCATGACATGACACAAGACATGAGCGCACACGCACGCACGCACGCACACACGCACGCACACGCACACGCACACGCACACACACGCACGCACGCACGTACATGTATGAGATGTAGAGGGTTGAGAATTAAGGGTTTAAGAGTTACATCGCAAACACAAAATCATGACCACTGATAGGCAGGCCGGGCAGAAGAAAACGTTGAAAACAAACAACTCGAAAGCTTCCCTGCCCACATTTTCTTCCCCAGCCTTAATACTCCCTTTCCCTTCCCCAATTCCCTATTCCCCACCCCCCTTCTTCACTCCCCTTTCATCATTCCCCTTCCCCACATTCCGCTACCCCGTACCCCCCAACCGGCCATCCCTCTCTGCCTGCCGGCACCTGTCCGAGGAAAGGCGGAAATCTGCGCCCTCCGCGGAAGAAGCAAGACCCGACCGCGGAGTCGGCGCAGCCGGCCGGCCAATCGCTGCAACGCGGGGCGCCGTCGTCGCGCGCGCCGTAGGGGCGGGGGAACAAGCGGCGGGCGCGAATGTAAGGAGACTGGCGGAAGCTGGTGCTGAGTGGCGAAGATTCCGCGCGTAGTGCGTGGCAGAGGGGACAAACGCTGGCGCAGACGCCATGGCTAGTGGGCGCGCTGCGTGAGACGAGTCTACGCGTGAAGAGGAAAGTGCTCGGGTGAAGAGAAGACACTAGCCCTATATACCGCTAAACTACTAGCGCACGCCTGGCGCCTGGAACGCGGCAATAAAGAACACCAATTTTCTTTTGGACAAAATTTTTTGGTTTCTCCTTGATAGTAGGTGCGGGATATTGAGGGAAGCAAGCGTGTGAAATGCTGCTAGTAATCTGGCCACGACAATGGCATTCGTTGGTGGTCCCTGGGACGGGAGGCTGAGGTCAGCACAGGATAACAAGAAACAAACTTGGATGGAATGAGATGAGGAGGGCGTGTCTCGTTCAGCTCAAGCTGTTGAGCACGATAATGTGCGATTCCTGTACTGCTTCACTACTTTAGACCGTTAGTAACCATATGCATATGCATATGCATATGCATATGCATGTGCGTGTGCGTGTGTGTGTGTGCATAATGGAAAATGGAAGTCGACAAGTTTTCACGACGTTCTAAAAGCAAACACAAACTCCCAAGGAAACAGTGGGAACACAGCAGAATGTGGAGAGATGTAGTAAAGGGTGCAAGGTAAGGAGGTTCAGTTCAGCGGCACCGAGAGCACAACAGCACACCATGTTAGAGTTGAAGGATCTTGGATAGGATAGGAAGTGCCTTGATAGAGTTGGTAGCGGAAGTCTTGTAAGAACTCAGATCATAGTGAATGTAAATGACCAAGTTGATTTAAAAGATAGAATACAAATAATATAAATAGTCCTAGTCTAGCCATGTACTCCATTCCCTTATTACAACTGCTTTACAGGCGATTCTACAGTGACTCTGACTTTTGCGCTACTTTCTTGTTACCGAGTCGCTCCATGTAACTTGTACGGTTACGCCTGTTGCCATTCCTCGATGGTAGGTCAAGCGTCGGTCCAGATGGTCAACAGTCGCGACAGTTGACTCTTGCAACTGTTGACCTTCCTGCCCTTGATACGGGCTGATCCGATACTGCGGATGTTGCTGCTTCGATAAGGTCAGGTGCGATACTGCTGCACCTACGGGAATGCTAAGTATAATTCCCTTCACACTCCAACACACCACATATCCAGCCGTCCCTCCTACCATTCCCTCTACCAGTCCCTTCATCCCCATCTCCCTCCCCCTCCCTCCTCCCTCCCCACCACAGCCCATCATGTTCGACTAAGGCCCAACCGAGCCCTTCCTGAGTCCTGACTCACTCATGAATCATGACCCTTATGCGGCATGGAGGACCAGAGGCAACTCGGGTGCGCAACCAGCAGGTCTTCTGATGAGTGGGGCGAAGGTTTCAGCTTTGAATCAACCTCCTTGGAGATTGAGATACCTTGGCAACTGGGACAGGCTTTGAGCTGTGGTCGTCGAGCGAGCGAGCTCTCAGGTCAGGTCAATCACGTGAGGGGCCAGCCAGCCACGGCTCGTGGCTGCAGCAGCGGGTGTGCCTCGCACTCAGGGTATCGGGCCTTGAATGACAGGACTGAACGGCAGGACTGAACGGCAGGACTGAATATTGGCACTTCCAGTCCACGTGACCTCTCTCTGCCATGCTCCTCATTCTGGCCCTCGGCGTGCACCACCGCCCTGACCCTCTTCCTCCTACTCTTCCTCCTCTTCCTCCTATTCCTAATCCTCTTCGTCTTCACCTTCCTCCTCATCCTCCTCCTCTTCCTCCTCCTCTTCCTCCTCCTCTTCCTCCTCTTCCTCCTCCTCTTCCTCTTTACCTTCCTCCTCATCCTCCTCCTCATCCTCCTCCTCATCCTCCTCCTCTTCCTCCTCCTCTTCCTCCTCTTCCTCTTCCTCACCATCTTCCACCTCGCCCTGTTCCCTCCTCTCCACCACCACCCCCTGCTCATCCACCAAATCTCTAAGCACCGAATCCACATCTGCTTTCCGGAAGCACCCAGTAATCCGCACCCGTGCCACCGACCCATTCCGCGGCACGCACAGCTGAGCAAGGGAGAAGGGCAGAGTGCGAACGCCCCTGCAGCGATCCACATCAAGCTCTACAGGCCGAGGGGTGGAAACGATGGCTTCAGGCAGGCAAAAGAGGCCTGAGCAGCAGCGGATGAAGAGCCGCTGCAAGGACGGGCAGCGTGTGAGGCTGGCGGGCAGCTGCGAAATTCTCGGGCAGTAGCTGATGCTGAGCTGTTGGAGATTTTGCAAGGCGCTGAAGTTTTCGGGCAGAGAGGAGAGAGAGCCGCAGCTGCTGATTTCAAGAGTGTGCAGAGAGGGAAGCAGTGGGAAGGACTCGGGCAGCAATCGAAGTGAGTCACAACCGTGTAGCCTCAGTGACTGAAGCTTCTGCAGCTCCCCAATGGACTCTGGCAGCCTCTGCAGACTCAGGTTGCACAAAGAGAGTGCTTCGAGGGTTGAAAGCTGCCCGATATTCTCGGGCAGGGAACGGATCTGGCTGCAGCCGGTGATTTGCAGGCATTCGAGGAGGGAAAGCTGGGGCAGAGAGGCGGGCAGGCGAGTGAGTTCACTGCAATCACTGACCGTCAGCTTTCTCAGATTGGTCAAATTTCCCAAGTCTTCGGGTAGCTGAAAAAAATATTCGTCGAGGTACAACTGCTGGAGAGAGGATAGCTGGGTGAAGGATGCGGGCAGGGCGTCAAGGGAATCGCAGGAACAAATTCTTATCGAGCGCAGGCTGCGCAGCTGCCCAAAATCATTGGGCAGCCTGGAAAGGTCTGGCAGGGTAAGTTTAAGGGTGTCTAAGGCAGAGCACCGACACAATGAATCGGGCAGGGTGACTAGCTCCTCGGACCCCTTGGCACAGAAATTAGATAGTTTCAATAGCTGCCCGAGTGTGTCGGGCAGGGAGGATAACGAGGTACACCTAACCAGCTCCAGGTCCCGTAGATTGCTGAGGCTGCCCAAACTTCCGGGCAGCGATTCTAGACTATCTGCTTCCAAATAAAGGGATTCTAGAGCGTGAAGCGCGCCGATTTCATCAGGTAAGTGAGAGGGTGTCCGACGAAATGGTAAGAAAAACCAGCCGAGTCAAATTCGCGATGCTTCCTGGAAGCGCGGTGACCGTTCGCGAACAGTTAAGATCGAGATCCGTCAAGAGCGTGCAACGGGAAAAGAGCGCATCGAGACATTGGTTCGCATCCGCAATGTCCGGCGCTTGTACCGCGTCTGTCCCTCGGACGGACGCCGGAGCGCGCACGGCGACGAGCAGCGAGGTGAGATTTACCATGCGAGAGACGGACCGCGCAAGCTCCGATGCGGGTATCGCCTGGCTAGGCGTCACCTGGATGGACTGCACGGCGAGATACGCGAGGCGCAGCCAGCGGGACGACACGAGCGCGAGGGAGAACGGGGAGATGCGGGAGGAGGACGAGGAGGACGGGGAGGCGGACGAGGCGGCGGAGGAGGCCGCGGGGGAGTGCATGACGTGGCGGAATATCAGGACGAGAAGGTCATCTGGGAAACGGTCAAACGGGTTACTAGAAGTTCTCGTGGTTGCAATGGTCTTACGGACCGGCTCGTCTGGGGGATTGGAAGCCATTGGGGTAGATGGAGGTTTGCTGTTGAAAGAGTCGTAAAATTTAGGGAACTAAGTTGTTGCTACGAAGATTGGAGGCGAGAAAGAGATGAGAAGAAGCACCCAAAGCGGATTACGCAAGCACCTGCATAAATGTTGTGACGTTTAGGAGGATATCTACGGCTATAGAAACATCACTAGTGAGAAAGCTGGCCAGTACTACCGCTTCAGCTTCGCTCTGACGAACGGCCAAATAGGTGTAGGGACAGAGAGTCAGATAGTTGGAGGTCTGACGATGAATCTGGCAGGGAAGTATCTCGCTGTTGGGCATTCGGAAAACCCGAATGCACTTTGTGGGAAGTTCAAGAGAGTACGCGTTTAGGATATTGCTGCATTTTTGTGTGCCAAGCATGTGTAGCAATGGATGTCTACAGGTTTCACACCATTCTAAACGAAACAATAGTACGGTATGGAACTAAAGGGCAGATGGTCATTGCGACACATACTAGGGTTGCATGAAAGCACACCGTGGCTCAAAGCACAATTGTGCATCACATATCCAGCCAACAATACCAGACCCTTCCTCCACCCCTTCCCCATCCCTCCTCCACGCCACAACCCACTCTGACAGGAGCCTGAGCCCTGCTGAGTCCTGACCCTTCTACGGCGATAACCCGAGGTCACTCCAGAGAGCACTGAGCAGAGCACCCAACAGGTCTTCTGATGAGTTGAGGGGGAGGTTTCAACTTTCAGCGACTGTAGCGCTTTGGCAGCAAGGACAGGCTGTGAGCTTTAAGGTCAGGCACGTGAGGGGCCGCCCAAAGCTCCTAGGTCCTCTGCTCGCATGCCTGGGGGGTTACAGCATGCAGCACCGGATGTCAGGCAGGGTACTGGCCGCGGTGAACAGCAGCATGGCTCAACAGCACGACTGAGCAGCAGGACTGTAGATCGCTTCCCTTGCTGGCTGTTTGGGAGAGCAGTGGTGGCGCATCAAGCCCTCATGATGACCTCCCTCTGCCATGCTCCTCATTCTGCCCCTCCACTCCACGTGCACCACCTCCCTGATCCTCTTCACCATCCTTCTTCCTCCTCCTCCTCTTTGGCCTCCTAATCCTCGTCCTCTTCCCCCTCCTCTTCCCCCTCCTCTTCCCCCTCCTCTTCCCCCTCCTCTTCCCCCTCCTCTTCCCCCTCCTCTTCCCCCTCCTCTTCCCCCTCCTCTTCCCCCTCCTCTTCCCCCTCCTCTTCCCCCTCCTCTTCCCCCTCCTCTTCCCCCTCCTCTTCCCCCTCCTCTTCCCCCTCCTCTTCCCCCTCCTCTTCCCCCTCCTCTTCCCCCTCCTCTTCCCCCTCCTCTTCCCCCTCCTCTTCCCCCTCCTCTTCCCCCTCCTCTTCCCCCTCCTCTTCCCCCTCCTCTTCCCCCTCCTCTTCCCCCTCCTCTTCCCCCTCCTCTTCCCCCTCCTCTTCCCCCTCCTCTTCCCCCTCCTCTTCCCCCTCCTCTTCCCCCTCCTCTTCCCCCTCCTCTCCCCTCCTCTTCCCCCTCCTCTTCCCTCCTCTCCTCCTCTTCCCCCTCCTCTTCCTCCTCCTCTTCCCCCTCCTCTTCCTCCTCCTCTTCCTCCTCCTCTTCTTCCTCCTCCTCCTCCTCATCCTCCTCCACACTACTTTCCACATGCTCCTGTTCCTCCTGTCCCCTCCTCACCACCACCAACCCCTCCTCATCTACCAGGTCCCTCAGCACCAAATCCACATCTGCTTTCCGGCAGCACCCGGCAATCCTCACCCGTGCCACCGACCCATTGCGCGGCACGCACAGCTGAGCAAGGGACAGCGGCAGAGTGCGAATGCCCCTGCAGCGATCCACATCGAGCTCTACCAGCCGATGGGTGGAACCGATGGCTTCAGGCAGGCATGTCAGGCCTTGGCAGCAGTGGATGAAGAAGTGTTGCAGGGACGGGCAGCGCGTGAGGCTGGCGGGCAGCTGTAAATTTTTTGGGCAGTAGCTGATGCTGAGCTGTTGGAGATTCTGTAAGGAGCAGAAGTTTTCGGGCAGAGCGGAGAGAGAGGCGCAGCTGCTGATTTCAAGAGTGTGGAGAGAGGGAAGCAGTGGGAAGGACTCGGGCAGCAGTTGAAGTGAGTCACAACCGTGTAGCCTCAGTGACTGAAGCTTTTGCAAGTTCCCGATGGACTCGGGCAGACTCTGCAGATCACTTAAGTTGCACAAATACAGCGCTTCAACTGCTGAAAGCTGCCCAAAATTCTCGGGCAGAGAACGAATCTGGCTGCAGCCCGTGATTCGCAGGCACTCGAGGAGGGAAAGCTGGGGCAGGGAGGCGGGCAGACTAATGAGCGCACTGCAATCACTGACCATCAGCTTTCTCAGATTGGTCATATTTCCCAAGTCTCCGGGCAGCTGAAAAAAACATTCGCTGAGGTCTAACAGCTGGAGAGAGGATAGCTGGGTGAAGGATGCGGGTAGCGTTTCAAGAGCATGGCAGGAAAAAATGTTTAGCGAGCGTAGGCTGCGCAGCTGCCCGAAATTATCGGGCAGCCTGGAAAGGTTTGGCAGGGCAAGGTCGAGGGTGTCTAAAGCAGAGCACCGGCAGAATGAATCGGGCAGGGTGACTAGATCCTCGCACCCCATGGCACAGATATGAGTTAGTTTCAACAGCTGCCCAATTGTATTGGGCAGGGAGGATAAAGCGGTGCACTCCACCAGCTCCAGGTCCCGTAGATTGCTGAGACTGCCCAAAGTTTCGGGCAGCGATTCGAGATTATCTGTCTCTAAATAAAGGGATTCTAGAGAATGAAGCGCGCCGATTTCGTCAGGTAACTGCGAGAGGGTGCCTGAAGAAATGCTCAGAGAAATCAGCCTGGTTATATTCGCGATGCTTCCTGGAAACGCGGTGACCGTACGAGGACAGTGAAGAGAGAGCTCCTTCAAACGCGTACAACGAGAAAAGAGCGTATCGAGGCCTTGGTTCGTGTACGATCCGTACGGCGACAGGGTCAGATCCGCAAGCGCGGGACACGCATTCACAATGTCCGCTAGAACCGCGTCTGTAAGGGAAGCCGCAGGTCGCACGGCGACGTGCAACGAGGTGAGATTCGGCATGCGAGCGACAGACCGCGCGAGATCTGACGCGGGTATCGCGCGGCGAGACGTGAGGTGGATGGACTGCACAGCGAGATACGCGAGGCGCAGCCAGCGGGACGACACGAGCGCGATGGAGAACGGGCAGAAAGGGGAGCGGGGGACGGCGGAAGCGGCGGGGAAGGCGGCGGAGAGGGCGGCGGAGCAAGGAGCGTCGAAGGCGGCGGCGGGGGAAGCGGCGGGGGAGGCGGCGGATGAGGCGGCTGAGGAGGCGGCGGAAGGTGATGATGCCGAGGTCGAAGGGACCTGCTGCTGGTCGGCAGGAGAGGCGGGTGATGCCACGAGGGCGGGGGGTTGCATGACGTGGCGGAATATCAGGACGAGTAGGTCGTCTGGGAAATCTTCAAATGGGTCAGTAGTAGAGGTAGTAGTTTCAGTGATCGTGTGGACCGGGTCGTCGTGTGGGGGATTGAAAGCTGCCATGTTTGAGTGGACGACGCGTAGAGGGCTGCTGTTGGAAAGAGTCGCTCAATCTAGAATAGTAAGTCGTTGCTGGGAAAAGTTTGAGGCGATTACTCGGAGTGGGAGTCGTTACTGAGTGAATGTTGCAATGCTATGCACGCTCAGAGATGGTACGGCAGCGGTGAAGGCGGGGCAGGAGAGAGCGAGGGAGGCGATAGGAGACGACGAGCACCGCGGAAGGTATGGTGCGGTGCGGCGTGAAACGTCCTCTCGAGGATTGTCTGTGATGAAGCAAGAGGCTGCTGAAGGAAAATGTGGGTGCTGTTCGCCAGCAAATCGAAGTTTTGAATGAAAAAGATGGCATCGGCAGCGCGACCGCATCCGGAAACGGAGGCGGAACCCACCTCCGAGGTTTGGGCGTAATGCCACTCAAGAAACTTCTGTTCCCGAAAAGCGAAATTACGCAACCGCATCGGGAACCTCCATCCCCACCTTCCCCCCAAGGGCTTTGAAAGGCAATGCAATCGCTGTGCCATCGCTGTCCTTAGAAAAAGGGGGGATGGTGATGGCATAGCTTGGGAGGGAATTTTGCCTGGGGACGAAGTTGCATCCCCGCTTCCATAAACCGTCGAGCAGTTCGATTTGGTAACGAAATGGGGGCGTTCGCCAGGCCCCCACATTGGTTTCTGGTTTGGACGATAGGAGAGGCTCGGCAGCATTTTTACGGGCTGACCAGGCTGACGGAGCTTAACGAACCCTAACTGACGGGATCAGGAAGGCGAGACCCACCTTCCTGATCCCATCGTTCTCTCGTGGTTATTGGCTTCAAAGGTGCTGGCGAACAGCCCCGTGATGTGATCTTGTCGAGAGGAAGAGATCTCTTCAGCGCAGGTGGAATTTCCAGCCTTCTATCGCTGCAGTTCAGTCTGGTGCGTAGCGAGAACCGTTTGAATACAGTGTGAAACCGTACTGAACCAGACTAACCACCAGCAACCGAGCAGGCAGCTAGGAGGGCAGGCATCAAGCCTCTGAAAAAGGGACAACTGACTAGAAGAAGCCACTCTATCTGAAATCAACCCGAGGTCTATCTCTCTGCAGCCTGTGCCCATGGGGAATATCACCACCAGCTTCCTTGTCCTGCTTTGCTCCTCCGCCGTAACTCCCCTGCTGCTGTTGCCTGATTTGAAATGAGCCTGACAACAACCGAATTGTACGGTATAAGGCCCTGGGACAGACAGGGAGGACGAGAGGCAGGCATGTAACAGTGAGAAGAGGAGGAAGAGAGATGAGTAAAGGAGAGGGGATGAAAAGGAGGAAGAGTAGCAATGCCATAGGGGTGGTCATTGGTCAATACATTTCACTTCCTAGAGCCGGTAGCGGTCGGTAGCGCCCGGTAGCGCTACCGACTGAGTCAGCAAGCTGACCGCGGGCAAAAAAAATAAACCCCATGGCTTATGGCATGCCATTCGGGAGCCTCAACCCTAATATTTTAGGGTTGAGGCCCCCTCGGATGGCATGCCATCCGAGTGGGTTTTACGGTAGTTTTTTTCTTGCCCGCGGTCAGCTTGCTGACTCGATTGCACTGCCTGCTGACGCAGGCAGTGCAATATATATTCCAAAGCAGATCAGTGGTGTAAGTGGGTGGGGTCAACTTGATCATTTAGGTACACTCTAATGGTACATTTTGTTGTTGAGTAGGGTGAGACGAAGCAATGGGAGTGCATAATTACCTCATCAGAACTTGCCGCAAGGAAACACCACTATGACTGACCAGAAAAAGACAAGATGATTGAACCCTCTTCCTACTCCTCTTCCTCCTCATCCTCCCCCTCTTCCTCCTCCTCTTCCTCCTCTTCCTCCTCATCCTCCCCCTCTTCCTCCTCCTCTTCCTCCTCTTCCTCACCACTTTCTACTTCCCTCCGTTCCCTCCCAACCACCTCCAACCCCTCCTCATCCACCAGGTCCTGAAGAATCAAATCCACATCCGCTTTCCGGCAGCACCCGGCAACCCTCACCCGTGCCACCGAGCCATTGCGTGGCACGCACAGCTGAGCAAGGGAGAAGGGCAGCGTGCGAACGCCCCTGCAGCTATCCAGATCAAGCTCGACAAGCTGTGGGGTAGAACCGATGGCTTCAGGCAGGCATGTGAGGCCTGAGCAGCAGCGGATGAAGAGCCGCTGCAAGGACGGGCAGCGTGTGAGGCTGGCGGGCAGCTGAGAAATTCTCGGGCAGTAGCTGATGCTGAGCTGTTGGAGATTCTGCAAGGCGCTGAAGTTTTCGGACAGAGAGGAGAGAGAGGCGCAGCTGCTGATTTCAAGAGTGTGCAGAGAGGGAAGCAGTGGGAAGGACTCAGGAAGCAAATGAAGTGAGTCACAACCGTGTAGCCTCAGTGACTGAAGCTTCTGCAGCTGCCCGACGGACTCGGGCAGACTCTGCAGATCACTCAGGTTGCACAGGTACAGTGCTTCAAGGGCTGAAAGCTGCCCGGTATTCTCGGGCAGGGAACGAATCTGGCTACAGCCATTGATTCGCAGGCATTCGAGGAGGGAAAGCTGGGGCAGAGAGGCGGGCAGGCGAGTGAGCTCACTGCAATCACTGACCATCAGCCTTCTCAGATTGGTCAAATTTCCCAAGTCTTCGGGCAGCTGAAAAAAACACTCGCTGAGGTCTAACAGCTGGAGGGAGGATAGCTGGGTGAATGATGCGGGTAGCGTTTCAAGAGCATGGCAGGAACAAATGTTTAGCGAGCGTAGGCTGCGCAGCTGCCCGAAATTATCGGGCAGCCTCGAAATGTTTGGCAGGGCTAGGTCGAGGGTGTTTAGGGCAAAACACCGGCAGAATGACTTGGGGAGAGTGACTAGATCCTCGCACCCCATCGCACAGAAATGAGATAATTTCAACAGTTGCCCAACTGTATTGGGCAGGGAGGATAAAGCAGTGCACTCCACCAGCTCCAGGTCCCGTAGGTTGCTGAGGCTGCCCAAAGTTTCGGGCAGCGATTCGAGATTATCTGTTTCTAAATACAGGGATTCTAGAGCGTGAAGCGCGCCGATCTCATCAGGTAGTTGCGAGAGGGTGCCTGACGAAATGCTAAGAGAAACCAGCCCTGTTATACTCGCGATGCTTCCTGGAAACGCGGTGACCGTGCGTGGACAGTGAACATCGAGTTTCTTCAGGCGCGTGCAATGCGAAAAGATCGTATCGAGGCCGTGTGACGTGTACGAACCGTACGGCGACAGGGTCAGATTTGCAAGCGCGGGACACGCGCGCGCGATCGTCGCTATAAGCGAGTCGGTGAGGGAAGCCGGAGGGTCCACGGCGACGTAAAGCGAGGCGAGATTCGGCATCCGAGCGACGGAACGCGCGAGATCCGATGCGGGAATCGCGCGACGCTGCGTGAGGTCGATGGACGGCACGGCGAGATACGCGAGGCGCAGCCAGCGCGACGACACGAGCGCGAGGGAGAACGGGCAGACGGGGGGTGGGGAGGAGGAGATGGCGGAGGCAGCGGAGAAGGCAGCGGAGAGGGCGGCGGAAGCGGCGGAGGAGGCGGCGGAGGAAACGGCGGAGGCAGCGGCGGAGGAGGCGACGGGAGAGGCGGCGGATGAGGCGGCGGGGGAGGCGGAAGAAGGTGACGATGCGGTGGTGGAAGGGTCCTGCTGGTTGTCGGCAGGAGCGGCGGGTAATGCGGGTGGGGCTTGCATGGCGTGGCGAAATATTAAGACGAGAAGGTCATCTGGGAAATTCTCGAACGGGTCACTAATGGTAGAAGTAGTTTCGGTGGTCGTTTGAATCAGGTCGTGTGGGGGATTGGAAGCCGCCATCTTTGAGTGCACGACGACGGTAGAAGGTTGCTGTTGGAAGGACTCGCACAACTTCTAGGAGATTAGGTTGTTGCTAGGAAAGACTCGAGGCAATTTGTTGAAATTGAGGGTGAGAGCGAGAGCAAAGGTGCAAAGGAGCAATGTACACTCCGAGATGGTACAGCTACGGCAGCGGCCGGGGCAGGACAGGTGGGAGCGAGACGACGAGCAATGTGGAGGGTGCGTTGCGGTGCGGCGTGAAACGAGCTTGCATATGATGCACCATGGCCTCAATGGCAACAAGTCAAGGAAGCAAGAGGGAGGCGGAATGAATGTGATCTTCAGGGAGGGAGCAGCAGACAGGTTTGCAGGATCTCTTTTGAACTAGATTCAGCACAATCGCGCATTCCTGCTGAATTCAATCGCCAAGGTTCAGTCCGGTCTGGTGCGTTACGATTCGAAGCGAGCAGTGTGAACCGTTTGTCTACGTGTGGAACCCTACTGAACCACGCAGATTGGAAGGCATTCTCAAGGCCCGGAAAAGGGGAGACCCGACCCGAGCCGACCACTGAAGGACACAGACTTGGCGACCAACTTATCACAAACTTAGGTCGTGTCACATTGGCATTGGTCCGTGCAGGCATCTAATGGGAGGAAAACAACAACACTTCAAAGGAATGAATGAAATGCCTAGAGCAGCCTGATGGGAGATATACACCATTAGCAAAACACAACACAAATCAGCCAACACAATGGTACATGCTCTTGCATCAACTTTTAAACCTCTCCCACGCCGAAGCCACTCTATCCGAAATCAGCCTGAGGTCTATCCCTCTGCAGCCTGTGCTCATGTGGAATATCGTCAACTCCCTTGTCCTGCTTTGCTCCTCCCCCACTGCCCCCTTCGAGGCACCGACACCTGCTGAGTTGGTGCCTGAGTTGGGATGCGACCGAGAATAGGCAACTTCAATAAGCCCCTGAGGCAGAGAGTGAGGATGAAAGGCATGCACCGAAGAGAGAAGGAAGCGAGAAGAATGAGGGAGCAGAGATAGAGAGGAGCACGAGTCGACAATCCTGGGGTTGAGAGCTTCAAGGCGGGTCAAAGCAGGCGAGTGGAGCAACTGAGTTGGGCACGAGTGCTCAAAGTCGACTGGGAGGGAAGACAGCATGCTGTTGAGCAGGGCGAGACAAAGCAATGAGAGTGCAGACTCAGACTCACCCCATCAGAACATACGGTACCGCAAGGAAACACTATCATGGGAGACAGCTGGATGGCAAACAAGATCACCCCATTGGACCCTCACAGGAATCACCTCGAATCACCTCAAAGCAATCACCTCGAAGGACGCAAGGAAGGCTTGCAGGCGCATGAGTGCGGAGCGGAAGGGAGGTGGCAGGGACGGCGCGTGGGTGATGGCGAGCAGAGCCGCCTCGTCCATGTGCAACAGCCGCGCTATCTCCTGGTGGGGGCCATGGTCAGAAAGACACGGGGGGGATGTGGTCAGAATAACACAGGGGGGATGTGGTCAGAATAACACAGGGGGGATGTGGTCAGAATAACACAGAGGAAGAGGAAACTTATTGGGTTATTTTCATTTTTATTTTTGCGTGTGGGATGTGTTGTGTGCGGTGTACTAAAAGTCGAGAGAAAATGCAGCTACTTATTGTCCACAGCAGGGTTCACATCACAGTCACTGCACTCACAGCAGGGTGCACGGCAGCGGGCATGAGCGAGCAGCCATCATCGACATACACCACCAGGCGCACCACACCGGGCGTGCGATAGCTGAACTCCTTCACCCCCACCACCACGCACTGGGAAAGGGGGGGGAGAGGGCACAGGAGGGAGGACGGGCGGATGAGAGGCGTGTGGTGTGGTGCAGTGTGGTGCAGTGTGGTGCGGTGGCTTTTTCAGGTGCCTCAGTTGCAGTAGCTTGCACCCAGCACTTGGTGCAAATGGAAGTACACAGAAAGAACCGGAAGAAACACAACAGTGACGAGCAGAGAGAAGCAAAGGAACCGCACAACAGAAATCTCACCCTCAACCTTGAGGCACCACCCCACCACCACCACAAACAAGCATCCGTAAGGAAGAAGAATGGGAACGAAAGGGCTCGGCCCTATCCAAGGTTACGCTACCCGCCGGCATACCTTCACAGTGAGCCGCTTGCCACCCTCCCTCTCACTCCCTCCTCCTCTTGCTTCTGCTCCTGTTCTGTCCTCTTCCTCCCCTCCCGCAGCAACATCCGCCAAGTAACCAAACACTTCCCCTCCTCCTCCTCCCACTGCTGATGCCGCTGCGCCTGTTGCGGCTGCCTCTGCTGCTGGTTCTGCTGCTGCTGACACTGTCGCTCTTGCGCCCACATGCATTGTTGCTGCTGACAATGGTGGTGGTGCTGCTGAAAATGCTGCTGCTGCTTTTGCTGCTGCTGCAGGTGCTGCTGCAGGTGCTGCTGCAGGTGCTGCTGGTGAGGGTTGGTTCATCATCCCTACAGCAGCATCGGCAGCATCCTCATCGTCTGTCAGGTCTACAACCTCCATTCGTTTCACCCCCTCCCCTGCACCACCCACACGCCCACTACCAACAGCAGAGGGAGCAGCAGAAGCAGCAGCAGACGCAGCAGTAGGGGGTGAAGCAGTGCGGGCAGCAGTAGGGGGAGTGGAAGTTGGAGCAGCAGCAGTAGGGGGAGAAGGGCGAGGAGGACGGTTCCCCAACACTCCACCATCACCCCAACGCCTCCACACAGCCTCCTCCTCCTCTTCCATCTCCACCTCCTCATGCCCTCCTCCTCTCCTCTCCGCCCCCTGTTCTCCCCTCTCCTCCCTTCTCGCTCGCCCTCCCCCCTGCCTCTCGTCCTCCTCATCCCCCTCCCATTCATCATCTAAAACTACTCGACGCCCTCTCACCACCCCTGTCCGTCTCCCTAACCCAACCCTCCTCCTCCCTACTCTACCGCCTACCTCCTCCTCATCCTCCTCCATATCCCCCACCCCTTCTCCCCGTCCCTCTTCTCCCTCCTCTTCTCCTCGCACCTCTCTCTCTCCCAATCCATTTTCCCTTGAAATCCCCCCTGCCTGCCCATCTCCCAGGTAACCGTTCCCACAAAACCCATTCTGCTGGGCCCCAGTCTCCAGCTGTTGCTTCCGCTGCGGATAAGAGCTCTGCTGACGTGGCAGGGAAGGTGACGTGTCACGCCAAGATGGCGCCACGTGTGCGTGGGTCGGCTGGTTTGAGCCGACAGCAGAAGCGTTGATTCCACCACCAGGAGACGCAGACGCAACAGCTGCAGCACCGGCGGTGGCGGCGGCAGCGGTGGCAGTGGCGGCGGCAGCAAAAGTGGTAGAAGCAGCCGCTGAAGTGGAGTTGTAGCGACTGTGGTATTGACCCTGGTTCGAGCCAGGGGAACCAGCATATGCTGTACCACTAGCAGCAGCTGCAGTGGCAGCAGCAGCAGCAGCAGCAGCAGCAGCAGGAGCAGAAGCACCACCACCAGAGGCAGCAGCAGCATCAGTGGTAACATCAGGGGCCGCAGCAGAGGCAGCAGGGTCAGGAGGCCAGGCAACCTCTTGAGCGAGCATGAGAGTGGTGCTCTCTAAGGTGGAACGAGAGGAGAGACGCCCCCTGCCGAGCATGCATGCAGGGAGGAAGCGAGAGGAGTGGGAGGGAAGGAGGTTTGTGAGGCGGTCTTTTCTGTTGAATAGGAACTTTTGAAAAGCGACTACCATGCTACCACCATGCTACCACCATGCTACCACCATGCTACCACCATGCTCTATTGCCACTCTTCACCAAGCTCTCCACACTAAAACGACCAGACAGACGTTCCTATCAACGGCCTATGCCAACCTCGCATAAGATAAGACCCATAAGACCCATAGGACCCACAAGACCCATAGGAAGTCAATGCATAAGCACGCCCGCACTCCCACACCATATACACAGGCACGGGGGGCATCCATGCCTACATTGGCTATATTGAAATCACTTTTGAGAATTCTCAAAAGTCACTTTTGAGAATTCTCAAAAGTCACTTTTGAGAATTCTCAAAAGTGATTTCTACATTGGAGCGACTTTTGAGAATTCTCAAAAGTCCTACCATATACACACACAGGCACGGGGGGCCATCCTTGCTTACATGTACACGCAGAGCAGACGGACAGCAAGGCAACAACGCAGGGGAAAGGGTCAGTCAGGACACAAACGTGCTCGTACACACATAGACACATAAACTCACCGTGAGAGTGAGTGCGGCCGCGAGGGGCGAGAAAAGTGGTCCGCGATGCGGCACCTGGCAGCCTCCAAATGTGCCACGTGTCCTCCCAGGACTTGCACGAGCTCAGGGAGCAACAGCAGCAGGCCTCTCCTTACAAGCACGTCTCTTAGAATCACCTGCCTTTATACAACAAGGGAAGGCCAGGCGGTTCATGAGAAGTAGGAGAGAAAAGCAGAACAAAAGAGGGAGAGAAGAGGGAGAGTGAACCAAAAAACAGTGTGAGAATGTGAGAGGAAAAGGAGCTGGTATGAAGAGACAATGAGAAACATAGCACGTAATTGCTTCCATCCTCCCTCCCGCCCCCTTCCTCCCACTTTTTCCAATTTGTGACTCCGCCTCCCAAAGCATTGACTGCTATGTCTAAACCGCCCATCCAGCCTAGAAAAAGCAGGCTTTGGAATCTCCCCACTCAGACATCGAACCTCTCCGCACCCACAGCACATCCAACTCCATCGCACAGCACCGCACACGGCACACACACACTGCTGCTAAGCCTCAAACAGGCCCAACGCAGCAAGCACAACACGGAGCAGAGAGCAGAGAGCAGAGAGCGGAGAGCAGAGAGCAGAGAGCAGAGAGCGGAGAGCAGAGAGCAGAGAGCAGAGAGCAGAGAGCGGAGAGCAGAGAGCAGAGAGCAGAGAGCAGAGAGCGGAGAGCAGAGAGCAGAGAGCAGAGAGCGGAGAGCAGAGAGCAGAGAGCGGAGAGCAGAGAGCAGAGAGCGGAGAGCGGAGAGCAGAGAGCAGAGAGCAGAGAGCGGAGAGCAGAGAGCAGAGAGCGGAGAGCAGAGAGCGGAGAGCAGAGAGCAGAGAGCGGAGAGCAGAGAGCGGAGAGCAGAGAGCAGAGAGCGGAGAGCGGAGAGCGGAGAGCGGAGAGCGGAGAGCAGAGATCAGAGAGCAGAGAGCAGAGAGCAGAGAGCGGAGAGCAGAGAGCGGAGAGCAGAGAGCAGAGAGCAGAGAGCGGAGAGCAGAGAGCAGAGACAGAGAGCAGAGAGCAGAGAGCGGAGAGCGGAGAGCGGAGAGCAGAGAGCAGAGAGCGGAGAGCAGAGAGCGGAGAGCGGAGAGCGGAGAGCGGAGAGCAGAGAGCAGAGAGCGGAGAGCGGAGAGCGGAGAGCGGAGAGCAGAGAGCAGGGAGCGGAGAGCAGAGAGCAGAGAGCAGAGAGCAGAGAGCGGAGAGCAGAGAGCAGAGAGCAGAGAGCGGAGAGCAGAGAGCAGAGAGCGGAGAGCAGAGAGCGGAGAGCGGAGAGCAGAGAGCAGAGAGCAGAGAGCAGAGCAGAGAGCAGAGAGCGGAGAGCAGAGAGCAGAGAGCGGAGAGCAGAGAGCAGAGAGCGGAGAGCAGAGAGCGGAGAGCAGAGAGCAGAGAGCAGAGAGCGGAGAGCAGAGAGCAGAGAGCAGAGAGCGGAGAGCAGAGAGCAGAGAGCAGAGAGCGGAGAGCGGAGAGCAGAGAGCGGAGAGCAGAGAGCAGAGAGCAGAGAGCAGAGAGCGGAGAGCAGAGAGCAGAGAGCGGAGAGCGGAGAGCGGAGAGCGGAGAGCGGAGAGCAGAGAGCAGAGAGCAGAGAGCAGAGAGCAGAGAGCAGAGAGCGGAGAGCAGAGAGCGGAGAGCAGAGAGCAGAGAGCAGAGAGCGGAGAGCAGAGAGCAGAGAGCGGAGAGCAGAGAGCAGAGAGCGGAGAGCGGAGAGCGGAGAGCAGAGAGCAGAGAGCGGAGAGCAGAGAGCGGAGAGCGGAGAGCGGAGAGCGGAGAGCAGAGAGCAGAGAGCGGAGAGCGGAGAGCAGAGAGCAGAGAGCGGAGAGCGGAGAGCAGAGAGCAGGGAGCGGAGAGCGGAGAGCAGAGAGCGGAGAGCGGAGAGCGGAGAGCAGAGAGCGGAGAGCGGAGAGCAGAGAGCAGAGAGCAGAGAGCGGAGAGCAGAGAGCAGAGAGCGGAGAGCAGAGAGCAGAGAGCAAAGAGCGGAGAGCAGAGAGCAGAGAGCAGAGAGCGGAGAGCAGAGAGCAGAGAGCAGAGAGCGGAGAGCAGAGAGCAGAGAGCGCACACACACCTTGCAGCCGGGGGCCATGGAGGGAGAGAGCGCGGGCACGTGGCGGTACTCCATGCCACACACCGCCTGCACGCCATCCGTCAGCTGCACCTTCAGGCACCGCCGCCCCTGCCCCGCTCCCTCCCCCCCTCCCCCTCCCCCTCCCCCTCCACCTCCACCTCCGCCTCCCCCTCCTCCCCCTACGCCTCCGCCTCCCCACTGCTGCTCCTCCCCCGTTCCTCCGCCCATCCCTGCTGCTCCACTTCCGTTGCCGTCCCCCATGCCCCGTCCCCGCCCCCTGCCTCCCCCCCTTCCGCCTCCACCCCGCCCTGCGCCAGTGCCAGGAGCGGCGGAGGGGGAAGGGGGGTAGCGGAACCTGAGGGGCACGGATATGTCGACCACCTCGTCCACCTGGGGGGCAAGGGGGGAACGTGCAGGGCGGGGGGGCAGCGAGCGCAGTCAGATGCGCTGAGTGGGAGGAAACCTGAGGGGCACGGATATGTCGGCCACCTCGTCCACCTGGGGGCGCAAGGGGGGACACGCAGGGCGGGGAAGTCAGCGCGGTCAGAGGCGCGGAGTGGAAGGACAGATGAGGGGAGGGGCACGGATATGTCCACCACCTAGTCAACCTGGGGAAGCAAGGGGGGACACACAGGGCGGGGCAGTGAGCTGAGCGCAGTCAGATGCGCTGCGCGTGGGCGGAAAGGTGAGGGGCGCGGAAATGTCCACCACCTAGTCAACCTGGGGGAGCAAGGGGGGGACATGCATGGGGGGCATGCACGGGGGAACATGCACAGAGCTATGTCGAGTCTACTAACTCGTGGACCTGGCGCCATCACACAGCGGACACGCATTGCAGGGAAGTCAGATGCGGGACACTCTTTCACGAGCGGACAGTCAGCGAAATCAGGCTCGTTCTTAATCTCAAAACCAGCTGCGGGCGCGGCTATAATCTAAATCCCCCAACTCGCACTCATCCGTCCCCGCTTCCCGCCGCTCCGCCCCCACCTGGAGAAGGAAGCTTCCTCGCAGCGTCTGGTCGTGCATGGCGTGCACGTTACCGGGCAGGCAGCCGCTATTGGACGACACGGCTCTTAGATCCGTTAGTAGCAGTAACGCCATGCATCGGGTTACCACTTCCCGCCACGCCTGCTCTTCCCCCTCGCCTCTCCCCCCGCCGCCGTCGCGCGCTAATCCTCGTACTCCTCTTCCTGTGTCGGCGGGTAGATTAATTGACGGGTCTGTCGCGACTATGTGTCGAAGCGCGCCTTCCACCCACGTCGCGCTCGGGAACGCCCCCAGATCGTTCAATTGCGACACGACACGTGGCACCGCAGCCGCCACTTCGTCGGCCATCGGGAGTGGACGAATAATGACCGCGATGAAGTCTTACCCTTCGTCAGTAGTCTCCTGCTCGTAATTCATTCAATTCATCAATTACTAGGACCTCGAGAAATTTTAGGCCCAGTTTATCTATCTGCTTGATCATTTCCACAAACGAGTACTGTAGTGCTGTTATCGTTAAAAGCAGATTCGATCTAGGGGATTTGCGTACCCGTCTTTCTACAAGAGGCATTAGCTGAAATTAACTGAGATTCAAATAATCTATGTATCAAAATCACAACTTATTTCCCCACACAGCATGCTAACTGGCATACAGTGTCAACATATCCAGCACACCCCAAAAATAATACCACATAAAAACAAACGAAACCAGTGGTTTCCTTGCATTGATGGCAATTGCGCCAGCTCAAATCCTCTCAAGTAAAATTACAGCCCATCCGTTTTGACCCAGGCCCATAAGAGTACCGTCCGTACCGTACCTCACTCCTTGGGCATGGGTAACAAGGGGGAGTTATGAAAAACTGTGCGGTGCGGTGCAAGTAGCAGTTGCATTACGCACTGGTGTGGCATGTGGAATGTGGAGAGAGGGCGTGTGGACAATACCAGATGAAAGTGAAGGGAGGAGGATAGGATGGGTCAGTGCGTGCCCGCGTATTAGTACCGCATTCTTGTGTGGGTATGAATACGAAGCAACGCTTTGGAAATGCAGGCGAGTTTAAACAGTAGGGTGTACAGGGATGGGATGGGAGGCTGCATGCTGAAGCCTGAAGGGTTGGATGAGATGAGTATGGGGATGGGAGGGATTGGCAGCAGCAGCAGCAGCAGCAGCAGCAGGGTTTAGGGGGCGGGCGAGCGGTGAGGGAGGGAGGGAGTCGGTCAGTGGGGTGCGGCCAGTTGGAGACAGGCACAGGCACAGGCACGTCAGTGAGCGGGACAAAGTCTGCCGCACCCCCAGAGACTTTCGAGACGTCTCAGAGTCAGTCGGTGGGGTGCGGCCAGTTGGAGACAGGCACAGGCGCGTCAGTGAGCGGGACAAAGTCTGCAGCGCCGCCGTACTCAGATGGCAGCACGTGCGGGGGGATGACGCTCAGTAGAGTCCTCGTGAGATGCCGGTCCTCCACAAACGAGATCTGTCGGTAAGGGAGGTGGGGAGGGGTGGAGACGGGTGGGGATGGGTGGGGAAGGGTGGGAAGGGGACGGGGGTTGTGAGTTGGCTGACAGAAGCATGTGGGGGATGATGACGCTCAGTAGCGTCCTCGTGAGATGCCGGTCCTCCACAAAGGTGATCTGTGAGGAAGGGGGTGGGGAGAGGTGGGGAGGGATGGAGAGGGGCAGGGATGGGCAGGGAGGGGCAGGGAGGGAGGGTTGGGGGAAGGGGTGGGTGGGGACTTGTGACTTGGCTGACAGGAGGAGCGTGAGGGAGGATGGCGCTCAGTAGGGTGCTGCGAGACTGTGGCTCTCCACAAAGGAGATCTGCGGTGTTCAGGGGGGGGTGGGGGAATCCGTGAAGGAAATCGACGAGGGGGTGTGGTGTTGGGGGGGAAGGGAGGGGAATGGGATTGCGGCATTGCACAAAGGAACTCCGCAGAAAGAAAGTGGGGAGGGGTCGGGGAACGGGTGAGGGAAGGGCAGAGGGCAGAGGGCAGAACAGAGGTCAGAGGGGCACCTTCTTCTTGGTGTAGGGGTCGATGAAGGGGCAGACGATCTTCCACACGCCCCAGAAGATGGACGGCACGTGGATGAAGAATAGCTTCGCCAGGCGCTCAGGGAACTGGTTCTGATAAGATGCATGCATGGGGGAAGGAGAGGGGGAGGGGGGGGGGAGGGAATGGGTGCACCGGAGAGACGTTTGAGTCGACTGAAGGGCCCGCACGCCCCAGAAGATGGATGGCACGTGGATGAAGAATAGCTTTGCCTTGCGCTCGGGGAAATGGTTCTGTGAAGATGCAGGCATGGGGGAAGAGAGGAGGGAGGAGGGGGGGGGGAGGATAGGTGCACCAGAGAGACTTTAGAGTCGAGTCATAAGTCCACACGCCACGCCCCAGAAGATGGAGGGCGCGTGAATGAAGAAGAGCTTCGCCAGGCGCTCAGGGAACTGGTTCTGTGGAGTGGGATGGGATGGCATCCATGGGTGGTGATAGGTGCAATGGGGTGGGGTAGCAGAGGAAGCGGGGAGCAGAGGGGGCGCGGAGCAGAGGGGGCGCGGAGCAGAGGGGGCGCGGAGCAGAGGGGGCGCGGAGCAGAGGGGGCGCGGAGCAGAGGAAGCGGGGAGCAGAGGAAGCGGGGAGCAGAGGGGGCGGGGAGCAGAGGAAGCGGGGAGCAGAGGGAGCGCGGAGCAGAGGGGGCGGGGAGCAGAGGGGGCGGGGAGCAGAGGGGGCGGGGAGCAGAGGGGGCGGGGAGCAGAGGGGGCGGGGAGCAGAGGGGGCGGGGGGCAGAGGGGGCGGGGAGCAGAGGGGGCGGGGAGCAGAGGAAGCGGGGAGCAGAGGGGGCGGGGAGCAGAGGGGGCGGGGAGCAGAGGGGGCGGGGAGCAGAGGGGGCGGGGAGCAGAGGGGGCGGGGGGCAGAGGGGGCGGGGAGCAGAGGGGGCGGGGAACAGAGGGGGCGGGGAGCAGAGGGGGCGGGGAGCAGAGGAGGGGAGCAGAGAACACGAAAAGAGCAATGGGCAGTGCGGTGCGTTGAGCATTGAGGTGGGGGATGTGCTCATGGATCGGGGGGAAGGTGGGGGGGGTAGCGAGGGGGAGGGGAAGTGGGGAGATTGGGGGAAATAAAGGGGAAACGGTGGGGAAATGAGAGGGGGGAGGGGGAGAGGGGGGGGGAGGGAGGGAGGGAATAAGGGTAATGGAGGGGAAAGGCAGTGAGGGAATTAAAACGGAGGAAGATGATGTGCTGATGTGGACAGATATGCAAGCAGAGTTGGATGGGCTTAGCATCTAAGGAGAATTACGCAGAATACTCAGGGGATACCACAACCAAGGAGGATACAGACAGACAGGTTTGAGGGGCGGTGAGGCAGTAGATGAGTAGATGGGGGGAAGGGAAGACAGGTGAGTGAGGCGATTGCAGGGAAAGGCAGGCGCGGCGATGGGGGCGGAGACGAGACGAGGCGAGGCGAGGCAGTGGGGGGGAGATAGAGTGGTGTGCAGACCTGCAGCAGGATGAGCGAGGCGATGCCTCCTCTGGAGTCGAGGTTCTTGTAGGCCACGCCCTGCAGGTCGAATATCACGCCGAACTTGTGCAGGTCGGGGGGGAGGCTGGTGGAGAGGAGAGAGTACAGGGGCAGTATGTATGGGGGCAGGGGGTAGGGATGCGGAGGGTATGTGGGCAGAGGGTAGGGGAAGGGGTGGCAAGTAGGTAGGTGAAGCGAATGTACGGGATGCCCTTTACGCACACAGCACGGCCTGTACGTGGAGTATCACCCCGACCTTGTGCAGGTCGGGTGGGGGCTGTGGGACGAAGGGGTAGGGTAGGGATGGGCATGGCATGGTGGGGAGAGGTGGGAACAGGTTGGGTGGAGTGAATGCATGATGCGCGCGCGGTGTGCAACCAGGAAGATGCATGGGATGGATGGATGGATGGATGGATGGATGGATGGATGGATGGATGGATGGATGGATGGATGGATGGATGGATGGATGGATGGATGGATGGATGGATGGATGGATGGATGGATGGATGGATGGATGGATGGATGGATGGATGGATGGATGGATGGATGGATGGATGGATGGATGGATGGCTAAAGGATGGATGGATGGCTGGCTAAAGGATGGATGGATGGATGGATAAATGGATAAATGGAAGGATGGATGGATGGATGGATGGATGGATGGATGGATGGATGGATGGATGGATGGATGGATGGATGGATGGATGGATGGATGGATGGATGGATGGATGGATGGATGGATGGATGGATGGATGGATGGATGGATGGATGGATGGAAGGATGGATGGATAAATGGATGGATGGATGGATGGATGGATGGATGGATGGATGGATGGATGGATGGATGGATGGATGGATGGATGGATGGATGGATGGATGGATGGATGGATGGATGGATGGATGGATGGATGGATGGATGGATGGATGGATAGATAGACTATGCGTGGTGTTGCGTTGCTTGTCTGCGCTGCAATGCCTGCTGCCAGGTGGGTGGCAAGGCAGGTGGGTGGCAAGGCAGGTGGGTGGCAAGGCAGGTGGGTGGCAAGGCAGGGGGCAAATGACAACTACAATGGAGAAAAACGCCTACCTGTCCGCCCACCTGCGCTTTTCTGTATTATTATTACCTGGCGATTGCTTTATCCATGGTGTATACGACCGACTCTGGAACCACGGAGACGCGGAGGGGAGGGGTGGGGGAAAAGTGAAGCGTGAGGGAAGGGGAGGGAGGGGGGGCGGAAGCAGAATGGGGAGGAGGAGAAGGGATGTAAGCTTCAGTTGAGATGTTGTTCGCGCAGGGTGGGGAGAGGAGAGCGAAGGAGGGGAGGAAAGAAAGAGGGGAGGCGCGGAGGAAGAGGGAAGAGGGGAGTGGGTCGGGAAGGGGGAGAGAGGGAGGGAAAAGAGGAAGGTGGAAAAAAAGGAGAGGGAAGGAGGGGAGTGTGGAACTGTGACAACGACAAAAGGCGGAGGTGGGTGGGGGTGGGAGGGGGGAGGGATGGGGAGCAGTCTATTAAAAGGGAAGCAATGAAAGAGGGGAGTAAGGCTATAAAGCGTGACGACGGACGGATCATGGGCGGGGGTTTTTAGAAAAATCTCGCCTTTCCTATGGCTCACGCACTCCCCATCCCATCCTCCTCCCCCCTTTCCCTTACCCCCTCCACCACGATATCTATCACCCTGCCATTCCATAACCACTCTTCCTCGCTTTCCATTTCCGAGACGTTTCAAAATTTGTCTCCCTCGCTTCTTCTCCCCTCACTTCAACCCCGCCATCCCCCCCGCACCTCCGCCCCCATTTTCCCGCCAGCGGAAAACCTAAATTGCGCCTTCCGTCCATGGCTTTCCTTTCCCAAGCGCGTGCGCCCATCCCCGCTCCCCGATCATCCCCCCTTTCCCCGATTCCACCCGCAAATATCAAACCACCACTCCCTTCCCCCCTTCCCTCCCTCCCCCCAAAAAATCCTCTTCCCCCCACCCCCCTCCCCCACAACTCCTCCCCCCACGTCTCCCCTTTCCCCCCCAACCTCTCTCCCCCTCCCTCCCGTCCGCTCAGCACGCACTGAGAAGCGCGTCCAGTTTCCGCTGGTACGCGTCGTGGAAGCGCAGGCGGCAGATCACCCACGAGCGCTCGCCGTCCGCGCACTGCAGCGACACGGGCGCCATGAGCGCGGGCGCGAACTGCGGCTCGGGGTCGCCCGCGCGCGCGGGGTAGAAGCCCGGCGGAATGAAGGAGGCGCGCCACTTGCGGTGCTCCGCGTACATGGCGGACGCGCGGTCGATGTTGAAGCTGCGCGCCACCAGGAAGCGCAGGAGCGTGAGCTCTGACACGCCCTGCCGGACGGGGGAGCGGGAGTGGAGGAGAAAGGGGGGAGAAAGGGGGGAAGGGAGGGGAGGGATGGGGAGGGGGGCGCAGGGGGAGGGAGTGGGGAATGGAGGTGGTGCGGGCAGGGGGGCGGGGGAGTGGGCGGCACAAGGAGGGAGAGAGGAAGGAAAGGGCAGCGGACGGGGGGGAAGAGGGGGGAAGGAACCGGGAGAGAGCGGGGGTTGGGTAGGAAGGGTGGATGAGAACAAGAGCGTAACAGGGGCGATAGTAGGGACGTCGAAACGGTGAGAGAAGAGAACCAAGAGCCATGAAGAGGGTAGACAGGCGAGGGGGATGCAGGGGGTGGGGGTGGAGCGGGGGGGGTGTGGAAGAGCGGGGGCGGGGGGGAGGTGGGGGGAAGGGGAGCGGGGGAAGGCACGGATGTGGGGGACGACGCGACAGACACGCAGCCTGACGGTCAGCAGCGGGCGGCTGCTGCGGCTTGCACGTCCCCGCATGGGAGCTCCAGGCGCAAGGCGGAATCCAACTTCTCCGCGCGGCCAAGGCGCAAGCGTGAGCGGAGCACAAGGGTCCTCACGGCCAAAAGAAGCGTCTGATCCACTTTCAAAAAAGCAGGTGTCTAGCAAGAAAGGAGGATCGAGGTCCACGGTAATTTCTTAACCAGGTCTACCTCTAGCGAGATTCCCGCGGCTGTTATCGCGGCGCGCATCTTCTCCATGTCCGCTTCGTGCCCCTCCACTGACAACTGATCGCCCGCTTCGTCTAGCGATCTGTGCGACCGCGACGACCCGCCCGATCCCGACGTCGTCGATCGCGAGATCTGCGACGGCGACGACTCCGCCGCCAAAGCGGCGATCATTGCAGCCTCGTCGCCGTCGTCGTCGTTGGGTTCGTCGTCGTCGCCCGTCGTTCGCGCAGACGGTTCGGACGCGAACTTCGCGAGCGGGACGGAGTCTCGAGAGAAAGACGAGCTGGAGCTGTCTTGCCACGTGGCGGGCAGAGAGGATTCCGCGGGGATGGACGCCGATTCGACGTCCGCCATCGACATGCTTTGACTGGGAGTCGTGTGGGTGATAAGATGAAGCTAATCGAATAGCTTCAGGAGAAAGCCGGAATTCGTGAATATCACGTGCAGGAAGGACACGGTTCGACGAGTGAGGAAAGTGAGTAGATAAGTGAGGATACAAGGGAGTTCTGAGGAGCCGCTGAGGAACCGCTAAGGAGCCGCTGAGGAGCCGCTGAGGAGCCGCTGAGGAGTCGCTGTGGCCCAGAAGTTCACGGGATAAATACACTAAGACACTCCAATACTGTATCCCTCCGAGAGTCCCAGCGCCGCGGCAGTGTTGGAGTGGTTCGTGAGAGCCACCCACGGCAGAACGAAGGAAAGAATGTGTGATGCGATCCTAACGGCCAGAATGTGTGACGCGATCCTAACGGCCGAAGCAGGATAGTACCAAGAATTGCGACGACCGCGAGCCAACATAAATGGAAAGAAAGCTCGAGTCTCTCAGCAGCAGTAGAGGGGGAGGGAGTGATCTGTTCTGGGAGTGGAGCAAGGGGAGCGGAATGATGTGCATGTACAACGTACATGCAACAAATAGCTTTCACTGCTCTGTTTGCTGCTTGCTTCCCTTCCCTTCCTCCCTGGTAAGGGGGAGTTGGTTGCTTGTGTGGTGGTGATATGCAAGGAAGCGCAACAAACAACACCCGAGGGAGTCGGCACGGTTCGGGACGGGGCGAAGGCGAGGGGGGAAACGCGGGGAGGGGGAGGCTCGCGTACAGCTCAGGTGACTCCCCTCCTGTCGGGTCTTGTTCGGAGTTCTGGGAGGTTTTGAGGCGCTGTCCTTCTCTTGTGCTCTTCGGAGGTTCTTCAATCGAAGGTGCTGTGGGATGGAATGACGCGGTTGGAGGACGACTGGAGAGAATGTCAAAGTTGTCTGCGACCAGTATGACTGTCTCGCAATGATTTGGTACTGCTACTTTGCACTGTAAGGAGCAGTCGATTGTGTGGCCAATATCCGTGAAAAACCTGGAGCACAGCTGGGCAAGGAAATTGATTGGTCAATGGCAGTTGCGAAGTGGATGGGTGGCTGTGCGAAGCTATTGACTTCAACCCATGCGACCTTGGCGGTCATTCTGCGACATGAGCGACAGCAAGGGAGGTAGGAACAAGACGGGACGGGACGGACGGGACGGGACGGGTATGGTGGGCGGGACGGGAGAGGGGGGTGTGGGCGGGAGGAGGGGGCACCTGTGACAGCGAGGCAGAGGTTGGTGGGGGCAAGGAGTGTGATTTCAACGGGAGAATGTTGCGAAAATTGACCATTGTGAGTCACATGTTTAGCGAAAATTGATCAACCAGGTGGTGGCGGACCCCAAGTTCGATTGCTCAAGGACAGCTAATCTAGTTCGGGTTCCTCTCCGACTTTTTGTGTGGAGATTTCGTCGCCACGGTGGTCATGACCGTGTCATACACAAACCTGCAATAGTCAAGGCTCTTCCAAGAGTTCAATTCGAGTACGGATCTTTGTACTGTAGTCCCCCACAGCAGTGCGGGCGTGTGAACTGTATAGTTCGGGTTTGCGCAGAGAGTCGAACTTTTGGTCTTCGCACTCGTCGCAAAGGTAACATGCGGAAACCCGATCAGGCCTGGCGCACGTTACCAAAACAGGCATTAGGGTGCGTCAGATCCGTTGTCGGAAAAATCCGGCCGGCCGGAATTAGCGAAGGTAACACATTCGCGACATCCGCAAATATTTTCGGAGAGTTCGCCAAATCCGGCCATTTGTAAAAAATTTGATGGCCGGTTCAGCATTCGACAAAGTTCCGACGTGCAGTCGACTCGAAAGTCGACCAATTTGTCGACCTGAGATCGCTACAGTCACTACGCGACGTCGCCAACACGTGCGACGCAACGTGTCACACAAATATTGCATCTGCGATTCCGTCGCACAATCCGGCGACCCTGGCGAACTGCAAACCTGACACATTTGCAAAGCGGCCATCAAATCGGCCACCAAATGTGTCAGATTTTTCGGCCCTGTAAATGTGGCCGGATATTGGTCGTTATTGAAGTCGACCATGTTGTCGACCAAATTGTCGACCAAATTGTCGACCAAATTCCGGCCAAATCACCTTGTAACGGATCTGACGCGCCCTTATAAAAAACAGGCAAGGCCTGGCAGTCGACCAGGTTTTGGGTACGTATTGACCAATCCCTCGCACAGCGGACGGGATTGTTGGGGCTCGTATTGACTCACCCGACGCACAGGGACGGAAACCCTAGCGCGCATGCTATCCACCCGCCATTCAATTGGACGAGGTTCTGTTTGGCATTGCACCTCCGACGACGAAATATGAAAATGTCACGTCTCACTTGGTGCGTGCAAAGTGAACCTCGATCGACTTCCATTCGTACTTCATGGATCGAGTCGCCTAGCCTTGATGAGGTCTTATCGCAGCTGTCCCTTCCGAAGTTAATCTGACGCCATCGCCATGATGGATCCATCTCCAACTCCGACTGACACGACTCCATTTGACACTCTCACTGACGATCTCGCCATTTTAATCTTCCAGCGACTTGCCTCTAGCGTCACCTTCTCGCACGCCTTCGTCTGCTCGCGATGGCTCCGGCTAGCGCGCGTTTCGCAGTGCGCAGTCCACGTGGCACGGCGGCGGGGAATCTCCGGCGCGCAGCTGATCCGCGCAGTATCGCGCATGCCGAACCTCTCGTCCCTCGATCTGTCCAATGGCAGCGTGGATTCGATCACCGACGCTTTTCTTGCAGGGCTCGCTAAGGCATGTCCGCAGTTATCGTCTCTCTCCCTCACGGCCGGAGGACACGGGTCCTCTCTCTCTCACTCCTCACTGGGTCTCGAAGCCCTTTTCTCCACGTGTACGCGTTTGCAGCAGCTCCGTTTGCACGGTACAGCAGCTGGGGTCACCTCTCTCCCGTCACCCTTACTGCATCTGCAGCAGCTGAAGACTCTTCATCTATCCATGGATCATCTACGGGAACTACCGCCTGCCTTTGGCCTCCTCTCCTCCCTCACTCACCTCAATCTCCACACTCCCCTCCTTCAATTCCTTCCTCCAACCCTGGGCAGATTGCGTGACCTAGAATCTTTTGAGCTTGTCGATTGCGACTCTCTCGTTTCTCTGCCCGAGTGTATCGGGCAGCTGTCAAAGCTCAGCCATCTGGGCGTGAGCAGCAGTAGCCTGGTCCTCCTCCCTGATTCCATCTCCCTCCTCTCCCTCACTTCTCTCGATCTCATCCTCCCCGCACTCTCTCTCCTCCCAGCATCACTCGGCCACTCCTCCCTCTCCACCTCTCTCTCCCTCCTCGCCCTCACCATCTGCACCACACTCCACTCCCTCCCTGCGTCTCTTCCATCCCTCCACACGCTTACAACAATCGAGATAAGCCAGTGCTCCTTGTCAGCCCTCCCGGACGATTTTGGATTCCTGCCTGCGCTGCAAACGCTCGAGCTGAATGCCTGTGAGGAGCTTTCCCGCCTCCCAGATTCCTTCCCCCTGCTCCCCTCCCTCACCAACCTTTCGATCACTGGCTGCCCGACCCTGCTGTCCCTGCCCGAAAATTTCGGGCATCTGTCCTGCCTGAAAATTTTTGAACTCTGCAGTGTGGCGAAAGTCGCGTGTCTCCCGGACTCGTTCGGGCAGCTGGAAGCACTGCAAGAGTTGAAAATTTCAGACTGCCCGGCACTGCTGGAGCTACCATCATCACTTGGCAGAATCCGTTCCCTTGAATGCATCACAATCAGCAGATGCAGCCTTTTGGATCGTCTCCCATCCAGCATGGTCATGCTTCCACGCCTTCGGGAACTCACCATTTGCCGGTGTTCCAGTCTTCAGTCTCTCCCAGACTCGTTCAGCGCTCTTTCATCGCTAAAGAGTCTTGTGATTGAGGATTGCAAGGGCATAGCCTTCCTACCTGTGGGCCTCGGACGGATGCCAAACCTGCAGACGCTGAAGGTGGTGGGGTGTGCAAAAAGCTATTATCTTTCTAGGCAGTTGTTGGGCCTTTACCTCGAGAACGAGAATTTGTGCAATGGGGGAAGGGCATGTGTTGGGCCGCACTAATTGTGGGATAGTTGTGGTGATTGCGGCCTTTGATTTTTGTTTGTTCTACCGTAAAATACTTCTCACAATGCACTGCAAATTGAGAAGCTTTCCTAATTAGAGTTGACGTCAACACTACCCAAGTTTCATTTCTCAATTTCGGTAACGTGGTGTTCTCTATGGTACCAAATCTTCGCCTTCCCCTCCCAACCAACCGCACTGGTCAGCCCAAGTCGTAGAATTCTTTCATAGCCTTCTCGATCAAAGCACACCGACGCCGTTGTGCGGTGCAGAGCGATAATGAATATGTTTAAGGCTTTTCCGTAGGTTGAAGAACGGCGCCATTTGGTGGGAGGCGAAGCCACTGGCGTGTTGAGCTCTGACACTAACTCATCCAACCAACCACCACATTACTAATGCCTTGCAACCTTTCACCATACTGTCCATTTCACGCAACGCGGCACAAGCTAGTACGGTAATTCTTGTGGCGTCATCTCTCCATCCATCATAGTGCACCTGCAAAGACCAAGTCGAAACGAGCATTACTAGCTAGATGCAACAAACTGGAACTCCGCGTAGTACTACTAACTACAGTTCGCAGCAACAGAGATAAAAAAACGAGCAACGCGCACAGGCAACGAGCGCGCAGAGCCGCGTTTAAGAAACGTCGTGTACGTGTAACAAGGTCACGGGCGACGAGGTCACAAGTGACGACTGCAGGCGACTATCATAGGGTGTGTGGCGCGGCGATGGGGAAGCGCGGCGACGTCATGATGGCGGCGAGAGCGGCGGTGGTTGCGCTGTTGGTGGCGCGCTGCTGCATGCTCTTCGCACGCGCTGCTCCCGTGGTGGACGCCGAAAGTAAGTTGTTTAAGCCGAGAGTAAATTGTTTAAGCCGAAGTAAGTTGTTTAAAACCCGCAGGCCAAGAATTTCAACCTTAGGAAGGTTGGTTGGGAGTGAAAACGCAAAAGGCCTGCGAACCAATAGGAGTGTCCGAAATGTTGGACGAGGTCTAGAATTCGGGAATGATCACAGGCATTTTTGGGACATCCAACCAACGCTAGGAAGGATGAACCAAATTTGGCCTTCTTGGCCTGCGGGTTTTAAGCCGAGAGTAAGTTGTTTAAGCCGTGATGCATGCTGTTTATCCCTCCACATCCTCCTTTTGACAGCCAGAGGTCCCTGACACTACGCGGCCGTGCCATGTGCCATACCGTCCCAGGACCGTAACCCTATTCAGTATGCAGCATGAACTCCGCACCGCACCAGCAACTACTTATCTCTGCTGCTTGCAGCTGTCCCTGCCATCCCCACCTCAATTATCCGTCTACACTCACCCTGTTCCTCTCGCCTGCCACCTTGAAACATTTTCAACACGTTCTGTGGCATGGCATGCTGCCTTGCCGGGGTGGTATGGCGCGGGTAAATGGCATGAATGGATTTCATGGATGGATGGCATGAATGGATGGCAGTGGAAGCCTTGGAGAATCTGGCACATGAATGCAGCGACGTCTACAATAGGAACACATGGATGAGGGACAGGGATTGCGACAGCATGTATGCCGTGCGATGTGATGACGACGGGCATGTCATTGAACTGTAAGCATGTCATTGCACTGTAAGCATGTCATTGCGTTGTCCCCTTACCTCTGCTTCCATTCCCTTCGCATCTGTGAATTCACTATCTGTTTCAACTTCAATTCTCCTTCCCTCCCTTCCATCCTTCTACTCCCACAGCGTCATCAGCGAGTGCAGCCTCGTCGGCTCCCTGCCCACGGCTCTCCTCGCATTGCCCCATCTCAAGGAGCTGTGAGACTCCTTCTGTCTCACTCTGTCTCCCCCATGGTCCTCAGTCGTTCCATCCCGCATGACCTTTTTATGGTCGTCTACGCTCAGAGATTCCTAAACGATACCGTTTTCTACGGTCAGATTTTGAAAAACAATGACGTTCTTTGCACCTTGCATGGGATGGCATTTGATGGTAGGTGATGGCATGTTCTCCCCGCTCTTCATGTTCATCTTGCCCGTCCTCGGGTTTTACATCTCCCCTTCCCGGCAACTTCCCTGCTCCGTGCTCTTCCCTGTTCCGTTCCTCCCAGGACTGCTGTTTCCATCGTCAGGCACTTGTCGAGCCATGATTCTCCTGGGGAGCTGCCTGCGTGGATCTTCAGCCTCACAAACTTGACTTCACTGTGCGTGCTGCCATGCACCATCTGCCATGCACCATCTGCCATGCACCATCTGCCATGCACCATCTGCCATGCACCATCTGTCACGCCATGGATGGACCACATTCACCACACTACATCATTTTCCATGCTTTCAATATACGGTAGTCCAGAGTACCATTCTCTTCTGCCCGAGAATGCCCTAATAATTTTCCAATTCGCGACTCTGCACTGCTTCCGCTCCATTCATGCACTGCATTTCATCTCCCCCCTTCCATTTTACCCCTCTTCCCTGTACCTTCCCTTCCAGCCTTTCCTCTTCCGTGACTCCCCTCTCCTCTCTGCCCTACCCCCCTCCTGTTTCCGCCCAACTCTCTCCATGCCAGGGACATCCAAGGAAACAACTTTTCGGGCTCCATTCCAGAGGCAATCAGCAGCCTCAAGCAGCTAAGGGAGTTGTGAGTGGTGATGGGGTAGGCATGCAAGGTGCTGTGGGATGATCAGGTGTGGTAGATCAGTGAGTGCTTGTGTGAGTGATTGAGTGAATGTCGGAGAGTTAGTGAGAGAATGAGAGAGAAAGTGCTGCAGGGTGAATGAGGCAATGGGCTCCCATCAGCAAGAATGCACGAAGCACTGCAGACACATACACTGCAGGTGCATGTGAGGCACTGCCATGCTGTATCAACCTTCCCACACCCAACCTTCACCTCTCCCCTCCGCCGCTCCTCTCTGTGCTTCATCCCCCTTTGTCTCCTCGCCTCCATGCCGCTCCAAAGAAAACACTGTAACCTCACTGGGTCTCTCTGTGCCACACGTCACCGCACTGTGCCGCACATGATCGCAGACGCATCACGGAGCCAACGCTGTCAGGGTCCATCCCCGAGTCAATAGGAGCGCTCACCAACCTGCAAGATCTGTAAGGAAGAGGAATACCCGCATTGCACTCCACGGGATGAAGGTGGGGTTTTCCTCGGGATGAAGGTGGTGCTCCAACGTAGCTGACGACGTTAACTTGGTCGGTCATTTGTGCAGTTGCTGCCGTGGATTGTTTCCAATCAAGTTGCTCTAGTAGTGCATTCCAATCAATCCTGCGAGCCATTCTTGCCCGATGCCCCAAGCCACCTTACCGGGTCAACCGGACTGGAAAGCATTGCAAGACGTTAGTCTTGAGGGGGAGAGCCAACGTCTCGTATGCCTTCAAAAACCGATTCTAAAGGCGATGGCACACATTCTCCTCTTTTGCGCGAAAGATTTTCAATTCAACACGTCTGCTAGCTCATGGAGTTTTCCCAACACGCCTGCTAGCTGAAGAGATGCAGGCACACGGAATTTTCTGATCTCCCTTTTCTCTCAGTTTTGCTTTAATAAACCCCGACCAAATTCCTCGTTTGGCCGAATTAACTGTCTACCTTAGCCAGCCAAATGCACCATTTATCGTATTTAGATAGCCATTTTTTTACTTAACACGCTTGTCCCTTTTAGATCTTCACTTGTGTTTGTGTAACTTTTTTATGATTTGCCTTCGAGACCTCTCCAGAGCCATGGTGGCTTCTCTTGACTCTAGTACCCCAGTGCTCTGGGTGCTCTAAGAACCCTAAACCAACAGCACTGGCATGCGCTTTCACACATACTCTAGGAGCTTTGTTCCCATCCCGTGCCATCCCGTGCCATCCCGTGCCTTTCACCTCCCTGCCTGCCTGCCTTAGTTTTCCTCCCTGCCTTTCACCTCCGATGCCTACCCTCTATAAGTAGATAAAAAATATTATTATTTACTTCAAGTTGGAGATTCAATTTTCCGAACTGACACTTTGATAGAATCCATCCTGCTCACCCTTTTCCTTTCCGCCCTCCCCCCGACCTCTCCATGCTCCAGGAATCTTCGCAAATGCGGTCTCTCAGGATCCATTCCAGAGGCAATCAGCAGCCTCAAGCAGCTGGAGATGTTGTGAGTGGTGATGGGGTAGGCACGCATGGATTGGAGTGGAGTGGAGTGGAGTAGAGTGTTTCAATGTGATAGATAGCACGCTAGGTCCCTGCTGAGGGTGTAAAGGGGTGGGGGAAAGTAAGAGGCTGATAGAGAGGTTGGGTGGAACCATCTGGAAAGGAGCTTGAGATAGATGTAGAGTAGAGTAGGTTTACCAGGTTGGAGTGGAGTTGTGAACTGAAGTAGGCTGTGGAGCTCGAGGCTCTTCTGATTAGATCGCGTATAAGTTCAGAAGGATGGGTATGGAACTGTGAGTGAGGTGATGGGTTGCGAGAGTGAGCAAAAAATCCAGGGAATAAGTGAGTGGATGAATGAGTGAGGGCGCGAGTGGAGGAGTCCATATGGGCTAGGCGGCCTTATGGGCTAGGCGGCCTTATGGGCTAGGCGGCCTTATGGGCTAGGCGGCCTTATGGGCTAGGCGGCCTTATGGGCTAGGCGGCCTTATGGGCTAGGCGGCCTTATGGGCTAGGCGGCCTTATGGGCTAGGCGGCCTTATGGGCTAGGCGGCCTTATGGGCTAGGCGGCCTTATGGGCTAGGCGGCCTTATGGGCTAGGCGGCCTTATGGGCTAGTAGCTAGCCTGGACGATCTGCCTGCGTGGAGTCTCTTCATCTGACAATGAGTGAGTGATTTGGACTCCAACACGTGTCTCTTGATCCTTGTTTCGGAATATCCAGTACTTTGTTTCCACGGTGAGCCACTGCACTTGAGTCGACTCAAAAGCATACTGCACATACTGTAGCTCATGCTGTAGCTTGTTTGTCACATGCCATCACATGCCATCCCATGCCATCCCATGCCATCACATGCCATCCCATGCCATCCCATGCCATCCCATGCCATCCCATGCCATCCCATGCCATCCCATGCCATCCCATGCCATCCCATGCCATCCCATGCCATCCCATCCCATCCAATCCCATGCCATCCCATGCCATGCCATGCCATCCCATCCCATCCCATCCCATCCCATCCCATCCCATCCCATCCCATCCCATCCCATCCCATCCCATCCCATCCCATCCCATCCCATCCCATCCCATCCCATCCCGTCCCGTCCCATCCCATCCCATCCCATCCCATCCCATCCCATCACATCCCATCCCATCCCGTCCCATCACATGCCATGGCAGGGACCTACAGGGCAACAGCCTGAGTGGCACCATTCCCGCCTTCATTGGCCGCCTCACCGAACTTCGCATCCTGTGCGCCCATCCTTACGCCGCCTGAACCTTCCCTTCTGCCCGCTGCCAGCAAAATTGTACCGTAAGAGTAAACAAATTTATAGTTAGATAATAATAACCCCCAAATGATCTCCATGCACGGGCATGCTGAAAATATCCCCCCCAGGAAACTCAACGACAACGCTTTCTCAGGCTCCATTCCGGGGACATTCTGCAACCACATTCGTTTCTGCGAGTTGTGAGTGGTTATGGGAAGGCATGCAAGGTGCTGTGGGATGATCAGCAATGTTTGTCTTCAGTGAGTAAAAGGGTGGGAGAGTGAGAGGACGAGAAATCAAGAGAGTGTGTGATGTTAGAGTTAACCTTGAGTCTCAGCTTTGTATCTGTACCTTTTCAGTGTTGCATGTTACGTTACATCAACATCCCAACCTTACCCAGATGTGATATAACGAAATCTCCAACCCACCAATTCGAGATTCCAGGCGATCTGATTGGGGATTGCCGCTGATTCCCTACCCATCTATTCTTGCCAATTTCCAATGTGCTTAGGAGGCTTGAGCTACATAAAAAAAATGTTTTGACTCTACCTTCAGTTCTTACATGGTATCAGAGCTACTCAACCACACATGCGCATCCTGATCCTCATCTTGTCGCGGTAGCTGCCTACACGGCCCCCAGTGAAGGTTTTCGACTTCCGTCACGTGCCAGCCACTGCTTTCTGTTTGGCCGGAAAATTTCACACAGAAAGACAGAATTTCAACACAGAAAGTGGAATCAACGGCTCAAAAGTTCATCTCAGACAGCATAGACAGAAAAAACCATCTCCTTTCCTATCACCCCCTCTTTCCCTTCGCTCTCTCTTTCACGTCACTCTCGTTCCCCGCCACTCCCCTTCCCTCCCAATCTTCCCCTCCCACCTTCGCTTGGCATCACAGAGACTTTGAGGGCAACCAGTTTACGAGAGAGCTGCCCTCGTTCGACCATACTGCCCATCTCAACATATTTCCATGGAGCTACAGCGACCTCACAGCCACCGGAAGCCGTCTCCCCCTCAATGCTACCGGTGGAGACGAACCTTCACAGCAGCACAGCTTGTGTATGTTCCTTTTCAACCATACGCCCGTCCAAAGCTGCACCTTGTCTTTCTTGTCTTTCCTCTGGTGCTTTCTTTTCGCACGATAAGGTCGTTCTATCTGCATATTGTCCCTCCTGTCCGCCAAAGCCTCCTTGATGCCTGCTTGCTCTCCACCAGTACCCAGCACTCATTCTCCTGGGACATGTTCTCAGCGAGCAGCAAACTTATTCAGGCTTAAAGCAAAAGATAGACAGTAAAAACCCTTCTGTAAAACTTAGATCTCAACAATCCGAGCTCAAGAACTTCAGCAGTAGAGTAAAACAAACATGTTTCGGCCGTTAAGGGGCTACCCTAGCAGGCCTTCATCAGTGCTAATGAAAGAAACAGAGCTAAGCTACGCTTCAAGAAGAAACGAAGCCTCAGAAAAACTGATCTCTAGGTTATCTACACCAGGTCAGCCCGAAATACGGGGACCAGTACATGTCACCCTTGAAAATTTCTCAGGTGGCCACGTCCTCAATCCTTGGAGCGTCGTCGTTGAAGTTCGAATTCGCATCCTCGCCAGGCAGCAACTGTGGAAGTCGCGCGCGTACCAGTAACCTGTTAAGGTTACAACCAATTTGCCATGCAACAAAAATCCTCTCCACATATAATCCGCGTGTAGTGAGTCGATTTTTGAGTCGACTCAAAAGGACCCCTAGCCCGAGACGAGCAGACACCGAAGTGTACTGCGTCTTCAGAACTAGGGGTCCACGGGATGGGAGAGAAATCTGTTGCCGGAGCGCCTGGTTAGCGATGGTAGTGGCGAGGAGTGACGAACGGTGAGCGAAGGTGACGCCTTGGAAGATTGGGTGCAGAAAAGCAGGAGGGTAACCACGGTCACGAAGCCGGCCGAAGAAAGCCTTCTTCGTTGCGAGGAAAATCGCAGGTGATGTAGAGCGGAGCAGGTACCGCTTCAATTCTGCGCGAATGAAGGATTCCTTGCAGTGCCGTGGGTGGAAGGAAGCAAAGGGAAGATAGAGATACTTATTCATCGGCTTCTGAAACGTGCCGAAATCCAAAGTACCCTGCTCCTTAAACCGCGGTCCCTTGAAGAGAACCACGTCCAGAAAATCGATGGAGCAGTCCGAAACAGACCATGTGATCCGAATGTTTGGATCAAGCTCATTGAAGGTGCGCAGGTAGGCTTCCAAATCTGCCCGCGTCCCCGGCCATACGATTAGACCATCATCGATGTAGCGCACATGGTAAAGAGGTAACGTTCCGGTCCACTTCCCCTTCAGTAACTCATCCAGGCGGCTCATGAACAGGATCGCGAAGCAGACTGCTACAGGTGTACCCATGGCGGTGCCTCGTAGTTGTTGAAAGATCCGGCCGCCGAACTCGACAAAAGAGTTCCCCATGACCCAACCCAGAAGGGCCATGAGAGGTGGGGTGAGTTGCGGTTTCTCCCTCATCAGAAAACTGCTGACCGCATCAAGACCGCGCTCGATCGAAATGCTGGGGTAGAGAGCGGCTACATCATACGTCGCTAGAAGTACCGTCGTCGGAAACGTGGTGCGTTCGAGCGTTGTCAGCAGAGAGAGAGAATCCCGGAGGTACGTAGGACGATTCAAGACCAGCGGGCGAAGTTCAGCGTCAAGCCACTTGCTCACATTAGTCGTGGCCCATGAATGTGAGGCAGCGATCGGTCGCCCCACGGGTACTTTCTTGTGAAGCTTAGGCAAGACGTAGAACGCAGCTGGCCGCCATCCCCCGGGTGGTTCCTTAAAGAAATATTTCCAGAGACTGTCTGGAAAAGCCGGTCCCCACGTCACCTTCAACTCCCGCAGCTGCTGCAGAACCCGTGGCGTCGGGTTGCGTTCAATCGGCTGGTACACTTCCGCATCTCCGAGATGTTCCATACAAAGGTCGATGTAGTGCTGCCGATCAAGGATAGTGACGCCAACGTTCTTGTCTGCAGGTTTGATGACGATGCTGCGGTCGGCGGCGAGGGAGCGCAACGCCTTGCGAATTCCTGACGAGATATTGAAACCCCGCCGTGGCGTCGTCGCTTTCAGAAGGTAAGAGAGGTCGTTGTGGGCCTCCCTGAAAACCGACTCCGGGACAGCATCCCGATCGGGTTTCCAATCTGGGTTGCGCACACGGAAGCGTGACATCTCAGATGAATCCCCTTTATCCTTGAAGAAAAAATGAAGAGAAATCCGTCGATGCAGTTGATCGAGGTCTGCTTCGATGGAAGGGCTCCTGGTAGGCGTTGGCACGAACTTCAATCCCATCCCGAGTGCTCGTCGCTCATCGGTCGTTAAAACCTTAGCACTCAGGTTATGCACTCCGTTGTTTCGGACCCGCGACATGGCTTGTCGTGAAGTCAAACGGCCGAACCAAAGAAGCGCGAGATCCCGCGCTGTTACTTCTTCTTTGGCGGCCCGTTTGCGGGGCCGCCGCCTCCGTTTTTTGGAACCCAGGCCTGCTTCGGTGCTGCTTGGCCCTTCCCCTTGCCGTCGGTAGGAGCGTCAGATTTCTTCTTTTTCCCCCGCTTCTTCTTCGCCTTGTTGTTCTGGGGCTTAGAGTCAGCGGCGGTGGCCGACGGAGAGACCTTCTTCTCCAACGCAATCTTCTGAAGCTTCGCAGATAGCTCTTTGTCCAGCTTCGCCGCGAACTCCTTGCGAAGCCGATCTTGGACCTTCTTTACGTGCTTCTGAACGATTGCGTCGACCGTCGGATCCAACTCCATTCTGTCGATCTCCTCAGCCGCGGCAGCTTTCTTCAAATCTTCAGCTTCACGTTTTTTCTGCCGTTCCAACTCCTGGATGATGATCTCATCCCTGGCGATGGCTATGTCGGACTGCGCCTTCTCGATGCAGGCCCCCTTGATCTTCCTGTACTTCTCCCTGGTAGCATCAGATACCGCCAGGTCAGGGTTCTCCGAGAGACTTTTCAGGTAGTCCTCAAGCTTTGTCGCCAGAGTCGTCACGTGCAGGTTAGAAGCCGCCAAAATCTCCTCGACCTCCATCTCCTTCGAAGCGATGAAGTCCTTCTGGATACGCTTTTGATTCTCCAGATGAACAGCAGCAACCGAAGCTGCAGACTTTTCCCGAACAGAAGGGTATTTCGTCTGGAACTCAACTGCTTTGGTGCGAATACTGTGAAGAAGCACACCCTGTTCATCAAGCGTCTTCATCTTCTGAAGCTTGGACTTCGCCTTCAAGAGTGATTTGAAATCCGCCCGAAAACCCTTGACCGCCACCGCAGTCCAGCCTTTAAAGCGCTCAGGAATGTTGAACTGCTCAGGAACAGCCGGGTTAGCGCTCGTGGAAGCAACAGCAGGTGCTACCGCAGGAGCAGCGTTCGAAGCGGGATCCATCTCCATGGCGGGAGGAGAAAATGTTTGCTCGCCGTGCGATGTCGGTCCGCGAGTTGGTGCAGTATGTTTTGCTCCTTCAAGTTCGCGAAGGCGTTGTCGCTTGTGCGTGCGATACCCCGCGTAAGTCTTGGGAACACCTGCCTCGTGGATCACAATAGCAGAACTGCCCTCGTTAAGTTCGGCGTCGTCTGAGTCAAGCGTAAGTGCCAACTGGTCTTGGGACATGTTCTCAGCGAGCAGCAAACTTATTCAGGCTTAAAGCAAAAGATAGACAGTAAAAACCCTTCTGTAAAACTTAGATCTCAACAATCCGAGCTCAAGAACTTCAGCAGTAGAGTAAAACAAACATGTTTCGGCCGTTAAGGGGCTACCCTAGCAGGCCTTCATCAGTGCTAATGAAAGAAACAGAGCTAAGCTACGCCTCATCAGCCTTTTTCAATGAATGCCATCCACGCGCTTCCTCCCATGCTCGCTCAGCCATGACACCACTTACTCTCCACTTCCCTCTTGTGTCAACGCATATTTCCCATAGATCCATCTTACTCATTCATTGATGATTTCGAATAATTTCCTGTGAAACGCCCTTTCTATCCGAATCCATTGTGTCTATGCCCAACCAGTGATGATAGAGGAATCAAAGCCTAAGCCCGTCACGGGGTTTCACCCAGTGTTGACCAGAAGCAGTGTTTACAACACGGAAAGTGGAATCGACGGCTCAAAAGTCCATCTCACACAGTTTAGACAGAGAAACCCATCCCGTTCATTCTTCTGCGCCACCAGGTTGCACCCAGTGTTGACAGCTTACGCACATGCTACTCCTTTCCCATCACTCCCTTTTCCGTTTCACTCCCTCTCTCACGTCACTCTCGTTCTCCACCACTCCTCTTCCTTCCCAATCTTCTCCTCCCGCCTTTGCTTGGCATCGCAGCGACTTTCCAGGGAGCTACAGCGACCTCACAGCCACCGGTGGAGACGAACCTTTACAACAGCGCAGCTTGTGTATGTTCCTTTTCAACCATACGCCCCTCCAAAGCTGCGTCTTGTCTTTCCTCTTGTGCTTTCTTCTTCTGTTCTTTATCACTTGATCAGGTAATTCTTTCTGCATATTGTCCCTCCTGTCCTCCAAAGCCTCCTTGATGCCTGCTTGCTCTCCACCAGTACCCAGCACTCCTTCACCCATATGCTGCTTCTTTACATGCATCGCCTCCTCCCTCCCACCCTCCCTCCCTCTCCTCATCCACCGTGCATCCACCAACCCACCATGTGAACCACCAGACACTGCAGTGGTGGAGGAGGCACTCTCCGTTCTCCAGGCACCTCCAAACCTGCTGCTGCTGCAGCTGCTTCCACTGGCAGTGCTGCTGCAGCTGGCGTTGGCCTTGTCACTGGCGATTCTGAGGCGCCTCAAGAATCGACCCCCCACATGCTACTTCTTTTCAAAGAGAGCCCTTGCTGCCCGGCAAGCTGCCATGGGTGTGGAAATCACTTGCGAGTGACCCACTTTAACGCGGGAATGATTTGGGTAACAAGATACTCACCTTTAATTATCGTATCGGCATGATATCATAAGTACGGTATTGTTGTTCTTGAGTTGTACGGTATTCGATATTTATGCTCCATTGCGATTTTTTACTAGCATAGCATTAAGCTTGACCTCCTCAAGTTCCTCTATGCCTCCTCCGTCCTACACTGTATGTCCTTGAAATGACTTTCAAAGTTTGCGCTTGATGCTGTTTTCCCCAGTATGATGAAGTTCGTAACTCTAATTATTCTTCACACATGATGCATATACATTTATCGTGAAGTCTTCACCCACATAGCTAATTTGGCCTAATGGAACATGTGAAGTCTAATGAAATACGGACACAACGCTATGTCTGGCGTTTCACTGTAACGGGTTAAACTCTGCACCCAACGCTTCCCCCACACCACCAACCACACTGGTCAGCCCAAGTCGTCAAATTCTTCCGGGCTTTGATTCAAGAACGGCGATGATAGCATGCGGTTCAGAGAGCTGTTTGCACATATCCAAAACGTTGGTAGGTGAAGAAGCCAATACATTGCGCGAGCTATTCTGGGCTGGTTGTTCTCACACATCACTCAATCACACTCCCCATTGATTGCGTGTTCGAGACGAAGGCAAAGACGAGATTTTTTTCGCACTACCAGTCGCCTCGCCATGCGGCTGAATCAGTAAACGAACTGTCACCGTTGATCCTAGCAACGGCTCACGAGCACGCAACAGCAAAGAAGCTCCAACGTACGGGTCACGCGCGTTTGGGCAAGGCGTGCCGCGTGCAGGGCGTTCGGGAGCCGTGCGTGCGGCAGGGCCGCATTCGGGCAAGACCGACATGTTCACCGGGTGGGGGTGTTCGTCGGCGACGTGAAACGAGCGCACGGCGGGCAGCGCGCGCGGAGAGCATCGATGGGGCCGCGGTCCGCCGCGGCGATGGGGAGGCGCGGCGGCGTCATGGTAGCGGCGAGAGCGGCGGTGGTGGCGCTGGTGGTGGCGCGCTGCTGCATTTTGCGGCCCCTCGCGGCACGCGCTGCTCCCGTGGTGGACGCCGAGAGTAAGCCGTGATTAGGGTTGACAGTAAGCCGTGATGCACCCTGTTAATTCCCTTCACTTCCTCCTTTTTACGGCCACAACTTGAATTCCCTGACACTAAGCGGCCGTTCCATGTGCCATACCGCCCCAGGACCGTAACCCTATTCAGCATGCAACATGAACTCCGCACCAGCAACTACTTATCTCTGCTGCTTGCAGCCGTCCCTCTTGCCATCCCCACTTCAAAAATCCATTTACCCTCTCGATTTTCCTCCCGCCTCTCCATTTCTGTTGGAATGTCCCCAACACGTTCTGTGGCATGGCATGCTGCATCGTCGGGGGGGGGGGAAGGGGGGGGTGGGGGGGGGTATGGCACGGACAAATGGCGTGAATGAATGGCAGTGGAAACTTTGGAGAGTCTGGCACAAGAATGGAAAGAGGCCGCGGGTACGAGCACGTTGAAGAGGGTCGGCGATTGCAGCAGCATGCATTCCGTGGAGTGTGATGGCGACGGGCATGTCATTGCACTGTAAGCATGTCATTGCACTGTAAGCATGTCATTGCACTGTAAGCATGTCACTGCACTGTAAGAATGTCATTGCACTGTAAGCATGTCATTGCACTGTAAGCATGTCGTTGCACTGTAAGCATGCCATTGCACTGTAAACATGTCATTGCACTGTAAGCATGTCATTGCACTGTAAGCATGTCGTTGCACTGTAAGCATGTCGTTGCACTGTAAGCATGTCATTGCACTGTAAGCATGTCATTGCACTGTAAGCATGTCATTGCACTGTACGCATGTCATTGCACTGTAAGCATTTCATTTCACTGTAAGCATGTCATTGCACTGTAAGCATGTCATTGCACTGGTAGCATGTCATTGCACTGTAAGAATGTCATTGCACTGTAAGCATGTCATTGCACTGGAAGCATGTCATTGCACTGTAAGCATGTCATTGCACTGTAAGCATGTCATTGCACTGTAAGCATGTCATTGCACTGTAAGCATGTCACTGCGCTGTAAGCATGTCATTGCACTGTAAGCATGTCATTGGATTGGAAGCATTTCATTGCACTGGAAGCATGTCATTGCACTGGAAGCATGTCATTGCACTGTAAGCATGTCATTGCACTGTAAGCATGTCATTGCACTGGAAGCATTTCATTGCACTGGAAGCATGTCATTGCACTGTAAGCATGTCATTGCACTGTAAGCATGTCATTGCAATGGAAGCATGTCATTGCACTGTAAGCATGTCATTGCACTGTAAGCATGTCATTGCACTGAAAGCAAGTCATTGCACTTTAAGCATGTCACTGCGCTGTAAGCATGTCATTGCACTGTAAGCATGTCATTGCACTGTAAGCATGTCATTGCATTGTAAGCATGTCATTGCACTGTAAGCATGTCATTGCACTGTAAGCATGTCATTGCAATGTAAGCATGTCATTGCACTGTAAGCATGTCATTGCACTGTAAGCATGTCACTGCACTGTAAGCGTGTCACTGCGCTGTAAGCATGTCCATCTAGCTCCTCACACCCCATCTGGCCCCTCACACCCCATCGCCATGATCTCTTTGCTCCCACCTGCTTCGCCTACTGCTCCCCACTCCATTGCTTCTCCTGCCCCTTGTTTCTTTCCTTCGGCCTCTGGTCAACCTTCTTCTCTCCCCTGCACCATCCTCCGATGATGCAAACACTCCACCTGCATGGTGCATGGATGGATGCAAGCAGGAGTTTTTTGGCAAACGATCTACTGGAGTCACTACCAGAGCAGCTCTCCCAGCTGTAGAAGCTGCAGTCTCTGTAAGGCCGGGTGAGGGGCATGTGATGGCATGGGATTGCATGTGATGGCATGTGATGGCATGTTATGGCATGTGATGGCATGTGATGGCATGGGATGGCATGGGATGGCATGGGATGGCATGGGATGGCATGGGATGGCATGGGATGGCATGGGATGGCATGGGATGGCACGGGATGGCATGGGATGGCATGGGTTGGCATGGGATGGCATGGGATGGCATGTGATGGCATGTGATGGCATGTGATGGCATGTGATGGCACCCGGACGCTCTAAGCCATCCTCCCATATTTTTCCATGCTGCCTCCTTTTCCCATGCTGCCTCCTTTTCCCATGCTGCGTCCTTTTCCCATGCTGCCTCCTTTTCCCATGCTGCCTCCTTTTGCCATGCTGCCTCCTTTTCCGATGCTGCCTCCTTTTCTCATGCTGCCTCCTTTTCCCATGCTGCCTCCTTTTGCCATGCTGCCTCCTTTTCCGATGCTGCCTCCTTTTCTCATGCTGCCTCCTTTTGCCATGCTCCCTCGCTTCTTCTGTTGCATCATCAGGGAGTTGTTGTGGAATCATCACCTGTCTGGGGAGCTGGCTGCGTGGATCTTGAGCCTCACAGACATGACTTCACTGTGCGTGCTGCCATGCACCATCTGCCATGCACCATCTGCCATGCACCATCTGCCATGCCATACCATTCACCTCGTTACATCATTTCCCATATACATCGTACCCTTATGACCTTTTTCTTTATCTCAACTTCCTTTCCGATACTCTCACTATACTCCAGAGTACCATACTAGTTCGCTTGCTTTCACGACTCTGCACCGTTTCTACTCCATTCATGCACTGCATTTCATCCCCCCCCCTTCCATTTTACCCCTCTTCCCCATACCTTCTGTTCCGACCTTCCCCACCCAATGATTCCTCTCCCCTCTCCACGCTTCTCTCCTTTTTCCGCCGAACCCTCTCCTTTTTCCGCCGAACCCTCTCCATTCACCAGGGATATCCAGGGCAACAACTTTTCAGGCTCCATTCCAGAGGCAATCAGCAGCCTCAAGGAGCTGCAGGAGTTGTGAGTGGTGGTGGGGTAGGCATGCAAGGTGCTGTGGGATGATCAGGTGTGGTAGATCAATGATTGCTGGTGTGAATGAGAGAGTGAATGTCTGAGCGTGAGTGAGTGAGAGAATGAGTGCAAAATGATGGTTCTGCCCTGCAGGTTGAATATGTTTTCCTATCAGCAACTATGCACGAAGCAGTGCAGACACATGCACTGCACATGCACTGCCGGTGCGTGTGAGACACATTATGCTCGTCCGCCGCAAAGCAGTAAGAGGCTCAGTCTTCACAGTAGGGCAGCTCTGAGTTTGTCACTGTTAGTCAACTGAATATATATATTTATATATGTATGTGTATGTATATATATTATATATATGAACTACTTCTGAGAGAGAGTGCGTTTGACTGTAAGGACCGAGAGTTGGTTGGACCGGTTGAGATAGGGGAGAAGGTAGGGCTTTGTGGACTGTGAGAGGCGAGAGGGGAAGCTGTCTGGGCTGGGAGAGGTGTAATCGGAAGGCTGTGTGAGTTTCAAGCAGCGAGGAGGAGATGGGTATACCGCAAGTGGCGAGAGGAGGAGTTGGTTGAGACGGGCGATGGGAGGGACAGGGGAGGTTCTGGCTGTGAGATGTGAGAGGAAAAGGGGAAGGCTTGGACTGTGAGAGCCAATGGAAATGGAGGGAGGCGTGGGGAAGAGAGTGTGGGGTTGGGTTGAAGGTTGTTCAATTTGATATGAAGGAGAGTCAGTCACACTGATTATTAGGGTTAAAATATTATGCACTCATTATCATTATATTGATTAAAAATATTTAATCAATCAGACTTGACTAATCGAGAATTCTAAAAAGCCTTGATTGGAGGATTAATATTCTGAAACTTCAGACTCTTACATCAATAGAATCAGCCCCTCTCCCCACCCTTTTCCTTTCCGCCCTCCCCCCAACCTCTCCATTTCCAGAAATCTTCGCAATTGCGGACTTTCAGGCTCCATTCCAGAGGCAATTAGCAGCCTCAAGCAGCTGGTGGAGTTGTGAGTGGTGATGGGGGTGGGCATGCAAGGTGCTGTGGGATGGAGTGGAGTGGACTGGGGTG